TCATATACGTATTCAATTTTATTGTAACATAAGTTGATAGGATCATCCTCAGTGAAAATCCAATGTTATATTTTGTTCATTTACTGTCAAAATGAATGTGAGTATATAGCCACGCCCTATGTCTCATAATAAAATTGTAACAACTTATCCGCAATAATAATAAAGTGCGACGATCATAATTTGGAATTACGAGCCAGAATACAGATTCTGCATGTTAGTTTGGCATGAAATATAAAAACTTGGACGAAGCAGCAGTGACGTAATTCTCACCAAACCGTCATCCAATGAGAAGAGAGCGGATTATACAGTGCGTCCCAGAAAAAAACGAAACCTGGAATTATCGATGTTTTATCGTAACTCAATCACAATTATAATTAATAAATAACACATATTTTTACAGCCTAGATCCTCCTCTTTCATTTTGATGCAACTCATAATGATGCATATATCACGCATGAGTGATCAAAAACAATTTGAAGAAAGGGTACCAAAAAGTCATTTCGCGGACGGTATCTGAATTTCAAAGAGAAAATCACAGTTCCAGAAAGTTCAGTTCCTGCCCTTTCATAATGACACCTCAATCAGGAAAAATGAGCCAGGAATAACAAAGTTCTGTTTGTTTAAATAATGCTTGCATTTCCAAATTTAATTCATAAAATCCATTCCACTGGCTGCCTGCCCTAAAAACAAAGAAGACGAAAGACTTCATGTAGACTTCACGATCAGCCATGCATAAAGTTTTTTGTCAACTCTGTGTTGCTACGGCAGGCAGCCAGAGAAAATTAATTCTTTTAATAAAATTATGGAAATGCAAGCATCAATTTACACATATGTGTCATTTATTAATTATAATTGAGATTAATTTATGATAAAACATCGATAATTCTCGGTTTCGTTTTTTTCTGGGACGCACTGTACAGAGAAAAGAGACCCAGCTGGAGGTTGGGAAACGTATGAAACGTTTAATTGCCTGTACGCGAAGCAATGCTATTAATTCTAAATTTGTTGTAGGTCATCTCAAATTCTCCATTTGTTCGTATCTCTCTCTCTCTCTCTCTCTCTCCCCCCCCCCCCCCCATCGTCCTCCTGGGGGGGGGGGGGGTTGGCGGTAAGGCTCATAGTAGCAATGGTAATAGTCCATTCCAAAGAAAGAGGAACATTCACAACATTTTCTCTTTTAGATAGAAAGATTACACAGCTTGTTTATGCTGTAAAAAATTGATCATTATTATGCTCAACTAGAAAATAAATTAAGATGCTGGCTTAAAAGGGCGCAAAAACGACGACACGTGCCGGGGGCGTCAATCGGGTGAGGGGGGGGGGGGTGAGAGTTTCCCCCAATATGGGTATGCTGTAATGTACTTACTCTTCCATTCTTTTCCAAACAAACCCCTGCGCTGCTATATCACAAATAATATAATTACGATTTAACAAATCTGACAGCATTTTGCCAAACACCACCTGAGCTGCGTGAACCCAAAGTACCAAAATTGAGCCCTCCCGGCCGCTGCGTTTGTTTGTTGACATAGCGAACGGGCATATTATGTTCTGTTTAAATATATCAATGGTTGATACTAACGTTACATCCTTCATATTTAAGAACATTCTTATTAGTATAACTTATGATGTATCTACTTTTAATAGTGGACTAACAAAATGCTCTGACTCTTTTCACGGTTTTATCCTATACTGCCCCCTTTACGCAGATGGCCTTTTGAATGAATAATTTTCCCGTTTTTGAAGAGTTCCTTTGAAGAAGCAAAAAATTAGTGCATTCTCTTCTCCCACTCCACTCCCTCTCACTTTCTATTGCCTTTCTCTCTTTCCTCTGTTTAGCACTTTAGGCCGAACTTCAGCCTGTCTCTCTGTCTATATCTGTCTCTCTCCCTTTCCCCCATTCACAGTCGCTTATCTCCATTGCCCTAATTATTAGTGATAATGTCCAGCTGAGACTGCAAAACTACTTCGAGTAACATCCTATATAGGCTGGTCGAATCGGAATAATAATGGTCCCCGCGTAATACATGTACCATTGAAATGGACCATTGTGCTTTATAGCTCTTTGTTATTCGGGAATTTCCGCCCTGGCAGATGTTTGATTCGTAAGTAGGTTTATATTTTTTTGTTGGGTACAGGGTAGTTATATTCTCAGATCATCAAGCAGTGGCGTATCTGGGCGGGGTTAAGCGAGCGGGAGGGGTGGGGCCTCCCAGAGCTTTTTGCATTTCTAATACCCCATTCACAGTGGTTTTGAAATTTGTAGCGGCGTTGTAGCGGAGCGGCGACACCGCCATAACACCGCTACAAATGCATTCACAGTAGAAAAGTTATCCCGCTGCAGCAGCGGGATAAATATCATGTACCCATTCACGCTGCAGCGGGTGATTTTTATTACCTCCGTAACAAACACGTGTATGCATGGCTCATGACCCGCGAGTGACCCCGATATGACCGGAAATACTTCAGCGCGGGGTTTTATCATATTACTTTTTAAAAAACTAGCATTTTTATTGCTTCCAGTCAGAATATTTTAATTTTTTGAAGTGTGAAATATTTTTATTTGGATAATTATAATATCTACATAATAATAAAATCAATTTGAATCCACTGGTTACTTTATTTCTATTTCACTTTATGTTCCCCATTGCTGGAGAAAAGAGGTCAGTGATAGGTAAGTAAACAAATCACACGTGTTTGTCGCGGTGTTATAGCGGAGAGCCTTCACACTGAGTAAACACCGCGACAGCAGCGGGACTGTCCCGCTGCTGTAGCTAGGCGAACCTAGCGATAGTTTGTCGCGGCGTTATCGCGAGGCGGTGTTATCCCGCGATAGTTTATAACGGGTCCGAGCCTTCACACTGAAGACAACACCGCGACAGCAGCGGGACAGTCCCGCTGCTGTAGCGGTGTTTGAGGCCACTGTGAATGGGGTATCAGTGCATATTTTTATGGTCTGTTTTATCGACATGAAAAGACATTCCTGATTAATAAAAGGTAGGAGTTTCGCTATATCAAAATAAGCTGTAGACATTACAACTCAACATAATCATGCAAAAGTGATTATTACTTTAAAAAGAAGTCGCTTATACGACGTGTAACCTCTGCGCATGTAACTTAACCTTGCTGTGAACAATGTGCATATTCGAGTGTTGTGATTGGTTGGAAGTTCAGCGAATGATGTGTAATTAAAAATGAGACCTTCTGTGATTGGCTTTTTGAATACTGAAGTTATAAATAAAATATTCGTTGTAATTTATAATAATGATGCTAATAATGACCCGGGGTAGGTCTATATAAAACAAAAATCTGTCAGAGGGAAGATTGCCCCCTTTCTAAAAAAAAAAAATACCATCACCTATGTAAAGACAAACAAATCAACTTGGACTAGGATGTATAAAGTACAGGCAAAACAGACAGAGAGGCAAGACACTAAAAAACAAAAACAATAACCAATCCAAAAAATGTAACAGAGTGACGAAACAAACAAAAATCAACAACAACAACAGCAGATAATAAACTAAATAAGCCTTTTGTTTTGAATATAAATTATACTCGAAAGAGTACTATAGAGGGCGTCAGCATGAAACCTAGTCAAAGTAGATGAAGTGATCGACGTTTACTGCATTTGAAACACCACCACCAACCGACACCACCACCACCATCATCATCACCATCACCACCGCCGCCACCACCACCACCACCACCACCACCACCACCAACACATACAACATCTACAACAACATCAACAGAAACAATAACAATAATGACAACAGCAAAACAACCACCAAAATACTGATATAAATAAAAAGACGGCTGCAATTCTATTCACAGAAAAGTGGCGCTATTTATTTGTAATAATTCATAAAAAAAAGATCGTCGATGGGCGGGCTCAAAATAACTTGCATACGTTTGTGACTCGGTATTTTGAATTTTTCACAACTTTTTATGGTCCGTTTTCGCTCAAAATTTCAGATATTGTACATTTAGCATTGCAGTCACTACCTTAGCACCATTTTCTCTCATGTGAACATTATGTTACCAAGTTGCATAATATATAGTTTTCTGTACATGTTATTATTTTTGAAATAATCACCCTACCCTAATCCGTGCCCGACTCATCTGGGCCCCGTCTAAATTTGAAGAGTTGCGATCGATCTAATTATTTATTTATTTATTCCGTTTTATTTAAACAGGGTAGCCCCGTCAGCCCGCCCCCCCCCCCCACTCCGAGAACGGACAGACCCCATGCGTGTTGCCAAAATGTCCTTTTCGTAACAAAAGAAAAAGGTCGACCCGTATTGACTTTACACACCAGACTTTTGCTGAAAGGGGGGGGGGGGTGCTGAAAAAGGCTCGTATACAAAAGAAAAAGGTCGAGCCGTATTGACTTTACACACCGGACTTTTGCTGAAAAGAGGGGGGGGGGTCGGTTATGAACACGCATATGCGTACCCTAAATAGCACTGAGTGGGGGGGGGGGGGGGCCGGGCCCGTCAGTAATCACAGCGGTGGCGGATCTGGGGGGGGGGGGGGGGGGCCTGCCCCTTGGAAAAAACGTGGGAAAAACGTGATTTTTACCTTTTTTTTTGGGGGGGGGTGCACATTTTCAAATTTTCGAGGGCCAAAAAAAAATGTGACTACTACCCCCCCCCCCCCCCCCCCCCCATCATCGAAAACATCAATTCATATTAACGTAGCAACATACAACAGAAAATAAGTCAAGAATAAGAGTGAATAATGAAACAAATCCGTGGTAGAAGTTCAATCACAAGTCCTCCAGTCAATCGGAAGTTTAAGCAGTCTCCCATAAGTTCAGTTGCGATTTTAATAAGGAAGAAAGAAGCTTCCGGATCGAAAGCACTATTTGCATTGGGGCATTGTCATGGGGTAAAGAGGTCGGTTCATGTCCCCTAGTCGCCTTACGAGGTCGAGGCCACAGCTAGCGAACTTGAATGACCGCCGGTCATGAATGGGCTGCAGTCGATAGCGTTGGAGCTTGGCATGAATACGCCTACATTGTGAATGTATTTACTATACTGTAAAGCCTTAGTATAACGTATACGTCAACGTGCCCCGAGCAACCTTTATCACCTGCTGGACGAACAAACACGAAACGGAACAAAACGGGAGCTTCAGTTGTCTGAGTATACATGTAAGTTGTCATTTTATTATAAATAGCAGAGAGATGTGAGGAAGCTTTCTTAATAGTACCTCTGGAAGGGATCGTAGGATAAAGATTCCACCCCTTTCCTCCCATAGATTTCCCTGTAAATACTGAGTAAGAAACGTGCTATTAAACTCCAGGAAGCTCCAACCAGGGACTTGGGAGACAAGCTTTTTGCTCCAACACAGGCGCCGGGGTTGGAGCTTCCTGGAGTAGCAACTAGTGCATGGGCGCGCTTGTTTTCGATTTTTGTGGTCAACTTCTTCGCCCTATCTGTAACGTTTGGTGCTGAATTCAAATATGAATGTGGCCAAACATAAAACTTACGTTTTTACTACAATGAGGCTTAAAAAGCCTGGGCTTCATTAGTATGCAAATTTATACAAAATGAAGATATTGCAATTTTACAGCACCTTAGTGATTAATATAGATGTTTAATAGCATGAAATAAATGTTTTATTTTGAAAATGTATTCAATGGTAGGCCTACTATCATTGAAGTTATTTCTATGCAAATTTATGCAAATGTATTTTTTTTAAATTTTGTTTTTATTTTATTTTAAAGATTTTTTAAAATCAAGAGTGTATCATTTTTATAATTAAAGCATTTGTCTTTAAAAAAGAAATTGGGTGAACTACTTAGGTGAAAGTAATTAAAGTCCACTCCAAAAATAATTTGATTTTAGATTTTCTAGATGAAGAAAAAGAAGAGAAACAGAGCAAAAAAAATTGAGTAAAATTGGATTTAGCTACTATTATATAATATTATACTATTGCCATTTGCAAATTTGGTTATCAGTTTGTGACGTCTTTGCCTCACTATTTATCAATTGCTTGATATTTTTATCCCATTAATTTTCCTTTTTATCCCCCAAAACTTGCATGACATATTTCACATAATCTTTTATGAACTTAGAAGAATCAATACTTTTTTCTGAATATTGCATATTCATAATCATTGATTTTTATTTAAAATAGCTTATCAAATTCACATTTTCCATGATTTAACCGAAACAAATTTATTTGGATGCTGGTGTGAGGAAATAAGATTTTAAGGGGGAAAATTGGAAATTATCAATATCAATATAAAGAAAACAATTAGTGGATAGTGAGGCAAGGACGTCACAGACTCATGAGAGAGTTGTCAATTTGTTTGTGATTTTCAAAGTTTTTCATTTCATTAAAAATTCATAACTTTCTTATTAGTGATCTGATTTTGCTCAACTGTTTTTGATTGGTTTGTCTGATTTTCCTGCTTCTATTTAAATTAAGTTATTGCTGGAGTGGTCTTGCCCTTTATTTTGTGTTCTATTCATCAGTCAGTCGTTGATGCACATCTTTGAAATGAACAGGACTTGATTATATGCAAATGCTAAAAGGCATATTTTATTAGAGTAATAACTTCACTTGTTAAAAGGTTAATAGCAATAAGCAGATCATTAAAAAGCATTTGTCATTATTTTTAATTCTTATAACATACATGTACTGTATGTACCTTTAAGCACTGATTAGGGTATAATTTGCATGTACAAGAAAAATCCAGAGCGCGTAAGCCCTAGCTAGATTAAAAATATCAGCTCTTGATTGCTCCAGCAACAACAACCCCTATTATAGAACCCCCATTTTGATTCTTGAGACATGTTTTAGATTCTGGTTTTAAAAATTACATGGATTGATGCAACCCAGAAGTTACAATTAAATCATTTGAAAACTCTTAGACTTATATTTTTTTATATAAATGTTATTTTTTTTAAGCCTTAAGTTCTGTATCTGATATTAATGTTATAATTTCTTTGTAGTCACATCTGAGATATCTTAATGTATTCTTCACCAACAGGTAACCTAGTGCCAAAATAATGGCGCAGGATGGGCCAATTAAACCCAATCTCACATTTGAAGAGGGAGTTGGTCTTGTTTGCAGACTCTATACACTTCAGGATGTTAAGTGCTTAAAGGTAAAAAGAAAAATATTAAGTGCCATACTATACTTTTTCATTTTCATAAACTACCTTGTGGTCAGACTATAGATCTACCAGTAGATCTAACAAAAAATAAGGACAAATAAAAATTGGAATATTCCAGATATAATGCAAGACAATGTGCCATTTTGATATTAACTGTAATATTTTTTTCTCCGCCCCTCCCCCTCCCCCTCCTCCTCCTTCCCCCTCCTCTCTCCTTCCCCTTCCCCCTCCCCTCTCCTTCCCCTCCCCCTTCCCCTCTCCTTATTTTTTTCCTTCTTTTTTTCTTCTTCTTTTTCTGTATTCTTCTTCTTTTTTTCTTTTTTTTCTTTCTTCTTCTTCTTCTTCTTCTCTTCTGGGCGGAGGGTTGAAAATATAGATGAATACCTTGCCAGTAAATGCCTATGGCCGGACGTCAGGATTGTGGCCCAGACTTAAACCTGTACCATGGGTTCCATAGTTTGTTCACTAATTATCCTCTAGAACTCAACACTTCTTCAGTTATAGTTCTATTACCGGTATGCATTTAAAAGTACCAGTATGTTCTTTTAAAAAGAAGTTATAAATTCTTTATCTTCCTTTATTGCAGGAATTCATTAGCTACGACAACCAGAACTTGCTGATTGAGGCTCGTCGACCCGACAGCGAACCTGGGAGACGGTTGGAAAAATTTGTATTGAAATTAACTAACTCTAAAGATTCAGAACACTTTGAGTTGTACCAGCAGTTGAATGAAATCTTGTTGCTGTTGAGAGGGAGGGGCATACAATGCTGCTGGCCAATCCAGAATGCAAGCGGCAAGGATTTAACGTTGGAGAGACTGTCTTTCAAACACAAAGGTAGCTCAAATAACAATAGCACATTTATCCTAATAGCTTATGTAGACTGGCTTATTATAGTCCAGTGGTAATGGAAGATCAAGTGTAAACCTCTGATAATGTATTACTCTTCCACCACCTTAAGCATACCTCTTCCGCCACCCTAAGTATAGTATACCCCTTCCCCTGCCCTAAGTATACCCCTTCCACCACCCGAAGTGTACGTCTTCCACCGCTCTAAGAAATGGATTTTTGGTACCTACCGGTATGTGTTTCGGGCTCCTGTTAGGGGCGAGCCCTACTTTCAGGTATATACTGTATGTACTGATCACAAAAATTGTTTCAATCAGTTATTTTCCGAGTTGCGTAGTCAGTAGGCTACTTAAAAAAAGGCATAGTTGTGATTGGACTAATTGGCACGAGATCAAAAGGAAATTTACCATCATTGTGGCACTTTATGCAGGCCAGCTCCCTAATAATGAACTCTTTTTGTTGATGGTCCTATGTAGAAAATGTTTACATTTTGTCGTCCAAACCGAGATTTTGGGCCCCTATGTTTCCCCGGCGCCTGTTCGTGTCAAGCCCAGCTGCATGGTTCGATTGGAAAAACTCAGTGCTCAAAGTAGGCCGAAAGCTTCAGTCTCTGATATCGACGGTTGTTCCGCTGAGATTGCATCTGGCTCCTCTGACCGCCTCTATACATGTGTATGGGGAAATTGACAAATGTCCCATACCAGACGGTTGTTTCTGTCTATGCTGAAGTCAGCTTTTGTTTGCTTACAGATAGGGAGGAAATCATGACGGCCGAATTCTTGACCCGGATCATGACCTACATACCAGGTCAGTTCATTGGGGGCGCACCACTGCTTACTGCTAAAATGTGCTACGAAGCTGGACAGCTGCTTGGCGATCTATCAACTGCATTACAAGTAAGTTTTTGCTTTTCTATAAACATGGGATGTGTTTACAAGTGAATGTAAATATGCTTCAGATTAGTTTCCATACCATCCACCCTTTTACAAAAGTAACTTGTTTAAAATATTTTTGGATCGTGGGGGGGGGGGGGGGCGGAGGACCTTACTCAATTATTTACAATTAGGTCCAGGTCGATTGAGGTAATAAATAGTAGGGAGAGGGGATAGGTGGGGCATACAGTATATTACGATGTTCTCCTTGAGCTACAATGTATATTGCATGAATATGTATTCGTAATCAAGTATTGTGATGCATTATAATTAATATAGAAGAAAGTGACCTTTATATTTTACCTAGTTATAAGAAAACTAATCCATGTACTAGTGGTTTACAAGATGTAGTCAAACAAAATTCTATCTACTGTACGTCTAATCGTACACGTAGTCTCAAGCTGTCTAGTTTGTAGGAATGATTCCTTTTTTGGGCCTTCAAGCTATTGTTTTGAACTCTAGATTCCTCTCTTTTTCTGAAATATTCTGTGTGAAAAATCCACAAAATAGACTAATTTTGCCTTGAAAGTCTCCTTATTTTTTCTGTGAAAGGTTGGCAGGGGAAGATGTAGGCATTGTTAATGATAATGCCGTACTGCTAATTGTAAACCCTAGATTCCTTTTTTCCCTGAAATATTCTGTGTGACGGAAAAATCTACACAATAGTCTGTACAGTATTCTGAGTCCCCCTGTAGAGATTCCTAATTTTTGCTGTGAAAGGTTGGCAGGGGAAGATGTAGGCATTAATTGTTAATGATAATATGCCGTACTGCTAATTGTAAACCCTAGATTCCTTTTTTCCCTGAAATATTCTGTGTGACGGAAAAATCTACACAATAGTCTGTACAGTATTCTGAGTCCCCCTGTAGAGATTCCTAATTTTTGCTGTGAAAGGTTGGCAGGGGAAGATGTAGGCATTTTTAATGTGCAATATTGTAAAGTGCAGTACCGGTGATAAAAGGCTGAACTTGCACAACAGGTCAATAGTGCATTATGCAACACCGGGTGCTGCTTGTACCTAAGTATGATTAAGAATACAATGCAAACATGAACATTGGACCCTTGAGTTTACTTGAAACCATATGGATCATTCCCCACTATATATTTCACAGGGTTGGGAACCATAATGGAAAAGTTTCTATTGACTTCCAGGACTATTCCGGTGACAAAACTCAATTCATAGAGAGGAATCAGAACTTAGTTTTCTCAAAAATATCCCTATGTTCTGATATTCTTTCTAACACAACTGTACCTTTCATTTTTTACACAGTACCACTGAAGATTTTTTTCCTCCCTTTGCAATGAACTCTTTTTCTTTTCTTACCCAATTTCGATTTTATATTAATGTAATAATATTAAAGGTACTATGTCCCATTTGCAAGCCAAAAAAATGAAAAAGTTAAATTCCAACTGCATTTGAAAGATAATACTAATTTAGAACTTCCCTAAAAAAGGTGGGGCTTGAAAATGTCTTCAAGTGGGAAAATAACGACTATTAGTTGTCAAATCGACTTTAGGGCTATAGAGCCCAAAAGTAATAGTCTTGATTTTCAGACAATTGCACCGAATGGTCATACGTTTTATGCTGCACAAAGATTCAATCAGTTTAATCTTGGCCATCACAAGAAGTGGGTTATTGATGTAGACAAATGCTCATGTACCCTTTACAACTCGTTTCATGTATGTTATTACCAAAGAAGAAAAAAAAGCCAGTCAGTCACTCAATAGTGTCTGACATTGAAGTCTAGCAAGTGAACGGGTTTCCTTGCATAATTTGAATATGAGGACACTGCTAATTACGTTTAAATTTTACAGATAGGACATACATGACATATTCATAATTCTTGCAAAGTTCTACATCATTTGAGGTTGGCTGCAAAAGGGACATAGTACCTTTAATATGCATGTATTTGAAATGAATGTTATCAAGCTTTAATCTTTCTATTGTTTTCCAGGGCTATTCGGGTGACAAAACTCAATTCATAGAGAGGAGTCAAAACTATACCTGGTCTCTGAACTATACCCCTAGGCTAAGAAATCACTTACAGGTACTCAAAGAGGACTCCCAGAGAAGAGTGATTGGAGAAATCCTCAGTGCATTTCAAGAGAACGTCATAAAGAAAAAAGACAATTTGACAAAAGGTAAGTATACTTCGTTAACCTGCTGACTTCTAAATTCATTCCTTTCCATAGGCTTTATACATGAGCCACTCGGTTCCAGTGGGAAATGGGTTACAACTCAATTATTCATACCCTAATACCAATTAATTGATTTGTACCAAAATTTTGAACATGATCACCGCATCATAATTGTGAAGAGGAGACAGCCACAGTGGTTTGGGCATGTAACAAGATGGAAGAATAGCTTGGAAATTAAACACCATCTTGCAAGGAGGAATTAATGGGAGAAGAAAGAGGGGCGGACCCACTAAGACAAGGTCTGATAACATCAAACAGTGGATGGGAATGTCAATTGAGCAGCTAACCAGAACAGTTCTGGACTGATAGCATTAAACAGTGGATGGGAATGTCATTTGTGCAGCTAAACCAGAACAGCTCAAGACAGAAAGTTATGGAGAACCTGTCTCTCAAGGTCTTTGTCATCACTGCCCCCAATGGCATCCAAGCTTCTAAGCTATATGGGATATAAGGCCTAGCCTCATCAGCTCGAGATTGCCAAATATCCCGCTATTTGAACTATCCCCATCGCAAATTATCCAGTTAATTTGCATCTATTAGCCTGAAGTTGCAATTAGCGGGATGTTTGATCGAGATAATCATCTTGAGATATCTTGGGCTAGTTTGCAAAATGGCACTATTTGGCAAAATAGCCCGCTATTTGTCCGGTGCTTTTTCACCAGCCCAAAGACCCGCACTATGCGCGAACACTGAGCAAAACATCTCAAGCTAATTTCTTGAGCTGGAGTTTCAAGTTTCAAGCTCAAATCTCGAGCTAATAAAGACGCAATTTGTAACTTCAGGATAGCGGGCTATTTGGCGATCTCGAGCTGATGAAAACAGGCCCATAGATAGATGAATAGAAGTACATAGATTAATGTTCAATCTACCCCCCCCCCCCTTTTTTATTTTTTTAAATTTTGGGTGGAAAGGAGAAGCACCTTGATCATGATACTCATGCAGTCCTGAGACTACAGTTGACGTCCAGAGCACGATCGATCCTTCTCATTGTTTCTCATTCTTTGTTTTCATTGTTGAACATTATCAAACAATGTTTCACAGATGCACATGTTCATAAATATTCAAATGACTACTTGCTCTATTTTTGTCATTTTTTTAATCAGATCTTCTTACTGTTGAACTGAATGTGCCGATCCAAGAATAAAAGTTCAAAATTTGATCCTAATTGATGTTGGTAGTGGATTAATCTTTCTTTAATTACATTTTATTTATCAGGGATAAGAATGACTTTTCACTACAGTTTATAACATTTCTTATGAGTCTTAATTGTAGATGGAATTATTTTGTGACAGCTAGTCAAAGGTACCGGTATTCAAAAATGGTAAAATTACAATATTTTCTTATTAATTTCTTCCTCTTTTATTGTTTGTATCATAGGAATGATCCATGGTGATTTCAATGACTATAATATTCTAGTTAGAGAAAAACCGTCCTCGTCTCTTTCTAACGGCACGGTGTGCCCTGGAGATGACAAGGATGTCGTGGGAGTTCTGGACTTTGATGACATCATGTACTCCTGCATCGTCTATGACGTCGCCATAGCGATCATGTACATCATGCAATGCACCAACCTGGAGCGGGACCCCCTGGAGAGCGGGGGTATCATGCTGGCCGGCTTCCTGTCGAGGCATGCCCTCACCGACGATGAATGGGCAGCCCTGTACTACTGCGTAGCGGCACGCTTCGCTCAGTCGCTGGTCCTGGGACTGTACACCCATTCTCTGCAGCCCCAGAATAATTACCTGCTAAGCACTCAGAAAGTTGGTTGGCAGGTGCTCTTTGACCTATGGGGTCAAGAGGTCAATGACCTTTATGGACAGTGGAGAAAACTTATAAAGCAATACAACAAATAGAAACGTATACAATCTTATAATAATAATAAATAATAATAATAATAATAATAATAAAACATGCATTCCAGCCAGTACGTGTTCCCAAATATTGTTGTGTTTCTTACATGACAATACCAGTACATGTATTTTGTATGAGTAAAGGAATGCTTATTGTCTATTTCCTAAAAACAGTGACTACCTCACTCAACTAAAGATATTCTATTAGGGATATGTGGCCTTTGTTAAAGGCCCACTGCACTACTTGTAGCTACTTGCGCCCTCTATATAACAAACAATGCCTAATCGGTGACCATTGGTCCCCCATGATCCTCTTTTTCTTATGTTAACTGAGAGCTGAGTTGATGAGATAACCACCTGTCCAGTGACCTTGCAGGGCAGTCTAATCCCTCCTATAAACTATGGCAGATAAGCTTTAAAGCATGATTGCCTCCTGAAACGCTTTGCAAATGTTTAACTGGTGTCAACTTGAATATGGATGTCCATTTTTCAGTTTGGTACGAAATTACTACAGTGCCTGAAATCTGATGATATATAAAATGTGGGCGACAGTGAAATTCAGTTCAGTTCTGGTACCGTATGCCCAAACTTTGTGATGGCACAATGTAAATGCACAATGTAAATGTCTACATGTACACATAAATTAGGCCTAAAATAAAAACTTGTTGTATTGCCCTTTGCGACTGACCCAAAAATCTGAAAATCTAGGGTCGGCATTTAATTATTATTTTTTTTAAAACCCTTTTTGTTTTAGGATATAAATGCATATAATCAAATTATTCCGAACAATCTTCACATTGCTAGCAAGTTTTACAGGTAGTTGAAAACCAACTTCGTCAGCAGGAAAGCACAGAGTGTTGTCTCAACACAACATTGCAAACCATGGATTATTACGATTTATGAGGTGAAAAAGACATGAATGGAATGATGACTCTGAAACACAGAGGGCGACCAAAATTTGAAAAATCGGACCGACTGACCCATGTTTTGGCACCTAATTTTCATACACTACCTCTTTCAGACAGCTACTACTTCTACTACTACATCTTGATGTTTTAAAAGTATGAAATATTGGAAAATACAAACGATTGTTGCGAACTTGACTGTCCATCAGTTTTATCCGTAATTTAAAAGCTATATTCTTCATGAAGAATTTTCTTCGTTTAAATCAGGAAATGAACGCTGCAGGTATAACATTTTCACTTTTTGAAGTATGCAATGTATTCAAATTTGAAATATATCACTTAAAACCTGAATGCAATAAAAAGAATGATTTGTAAAGTTACATTTTGAAATGTGAACTTATTGTTATTTTTTAATTGTTACTCATTTTCTTATTGACTTAAAAACACATGTAAATTTAGTTTACCAAGTCCACAAATGTCCCATACCAGTTAAGTTTAGAGTCACCTGCTTGTATTAAAGACTTTTGAACAAAAAATAAAAAAAAAACAACCTAGAATTCTCTGAATTAATCATTGTATGTGAGAAATTTTGAATTAATAAGTATTTTCATGTAAAATTGGCAATTACCGTACTTAATTGTTGATCTTAGGTTATTTAAATTCACAGTGGCTCATTTAATATACATCTTTATTTTATAGAATTATAGAATAAAAAATACAAATAATTTGTGCCAATTCGAGGAGGAAAAACTGATTAATTTAGACTTTTTTAAAATCTGAACTGCTTTGGGTTTTTTAAGTACTTCTTATGTTAGACAAATACAATGCGCAATGGCTCAGTGGTAGAGCAGTGGTCTGGTAACCAGGAGATCCCGGTATGAAACCAAGTTGATGCGCCAGTGCCCTTTGGTAGGGCATTGATCCTCATTCCCAAGTCCCTCGGAGAAGACTCAAAGTTGTTGGTCCCCTGCTTACTCACAAACAAGCATACACATGCTTTTTTGTAAGTCGGGTAAAACAAACCAACTAATCGCGTGTAAACACACCATCAACAGCAGAAGTAACAATATCAACAACACTTGGTAAATACAATAAAAGAAGAGGTGTTACTAAATTTCTAGATGATGTGTTTCTGTTTTATAACTTTTTATATCTACCAACTAAAGATGATAATAATTAAATGTTGATGATATTGATAAAGACAATGGCAATAGTGATATGATGATGATGAAGATAATAAAATGTTGACATTAACAATAATGACGATGATGATGTGTTGAAGACAACGATGATGATATGCTGAAGACAATGATGATGATATGATGAAGATGATAATAATCAAATGTTGATGATATTAATAATAATGACAATGACAATAGAGATATGATGATGATGATATGATGAAGATGATAATAAAATGTTGATATTCGGTAATAATGACGATGATGATATGCTGAAGACAACAATGATGATAATTACGATGAAGTTAATGATAATAATGAAATGTTGATATTAATAATAGTGACTATGGCGATGATAAGAAGATAGACAACGATGATCATCATGAAAGTGCTGATGTAGTACTGATTTATTTCACATCTCACAGACTTGAAGCCTTGCTCAGATATGTAGCGATATTAAAACCACAGTTAAATAAAAAAAAAAAATAATGACTTAAAGTGTAATACACTTCTAACTTCTGTATTTAAATAACACAGAGCTAGGTGAATACACAATCGCCAGCAATTGTCATTTATTTACAAGGAAAAGAACTGTCGCTACTTTCTTGCGGTGGTTTACAGTGCCATATCTAAACGGGCCTTTACCAGTCCATATACTGTACAAGGAATCATTACACGGAGAAAGGTTATTGACGTGTCTTTATCACTTTTTTTTATTTCTTGAACATGTCATATTAATGCCACTCTACAGTATATGTGAACTGACCTCTCTCTCTATAAAGTACATATTGCCATTTGTAAACTTTTGTTTCTTTTTCTTCTAATAACACAAAGAACTTTCCAAAACTTGACATAGTGTAAAGAAAAACAAGATAGAACTTGAAAGCAATTCTTTAAAAAAAATCCTGCCTTGTACAATTTCTTACAGAATTGATTACAGAATATAAAAAATCAACAAAAAGAAAAGAAATACAAAATCGGGCCATTACATTTTACAGCGAATTTTTTTTTTTTTAAATGTGAATATCATACTTCCTCTTTTCATTCATCTTTTTCTGTATTTCCCTGCAATTTTTAAATACATATTTTCAACAAAGGAAAGAATCTTTATTTTCTACATTTCTACAAGAAAATTTTGTAAGAAAGTGGTGTTCTTACAACAAATGATCCGAAATGGAAAAAAAGAGGAGGAGAAAGAAAAAAAAAACAGATGACAAGGGATTTCTTGTCGCACATCAAATAAATTAACATTCCATTATTAATTATAGGTGAATTGTGATGTAGATAACTATTCACAAATGCATTTATACAATCGTCTTCCCATACAAACGCACACACGCATGACACATGACAATCCAGTTGAGTTGCATATAAGTCAAGCAAAAAATAACTATGTATGATGGTGCATATAAGGCTTGCTTCTCCATCTATATGAATTAATATGCTACTTTCTGAGGGGAAAAAATACCAGGTCAAATGTAGGTTATTCAATTTGTGTTCCAGTGACGATTGCCACATCAACCATGGATCAAACCCTGACCCTAACCTTTACACCTAACCTAAAAACTCAATTGCGACTCTTATCCCATATCATTGATGAACATTTGAGGAGATATTTTGAAATAAAAAGGATTATTTTTGATAACATAGCTAAAGAGAGAAGTTGTGGGGTTTGATTCCCAACATTGCACGTGTTTTTCTCAAGCAAGACATTTAACATACATTGCTTCTCAGCTCCTGACCCAGGTGTTAAATGTGTACCCCTTTAAACGGGGGACTGCTCTTCAGTGGACTACAGAGGGCACAATCCAGACCCATCTATACACAGAGTTTGGTCAACCCTGTTCAAGTTGGACACGATATGGCGACTACTGCTTTGTTGGGCAAGCACAAAACAGAAGAATATACGAATGTCGTGACCCAGAGAAACCAAGTTGGCCAAACTCTGTGTATAGATGGTTCTGATGAGTGCACGCCATGTCGTCACCCAGTGAAACCAAGTTGGCCAAACTCTGTGTATAGATGGTTCTGATGAGTGCACGCCATGTCGTCACCCAGTGAAACCAAGTTGGCCCAACTCTGTGTATAGATGGCTCTGGCACAATCATTACTGATTTCAGTGATCGGGGTATAGACTATGTAGCTCAGGGGCGGTATTCTGAACCCTGTGTTATCTCTAATATTGTTGTATCTTTGGAGATAAGATACATGTAAAGTTGGTATTCTGAACATTGTTGTAACTTTTGTGTTATCTTTTGTTGTATCTTTTCTCTCATCTCATTGGCCGCGCCTGCGCTCATATGTTTGGTGCGCTTGTAATTGTGCGTATTATTAATAAAGTGGCGTTTAATCCTCATTTGCATATGCGCACGAGAGATAATATGTCGAGATAATTGGTATTCTGAAAGTTGTTGTATCTTTTATCTTATCTTATCTTGCATGGTATTTACAACAATATTTACAACAGGTAGGGGGTTGTTGTATCTTTCGTGGTGACATAATGGCGGCAATATTTCTTGCCCAGAACCAACTTCGTGTCAATAGACGAGTTACATGTAGAAGAAGATTTTGTGTTGACCGAAAACATCACAGATGAGAACTTTCTAAGAAATTACATGCTAGGATAGGACGATTTTAATGCTCTCATCTTAACCAATATAGTGAAAGCATGATTTGTCTTCATGATCCACATTCAACAGCGCATAATGATGACGCGCGTAATAAGCGCTCAAATAACTAATTACGCCCAAGATTAGTATGCGCTAGGTGCATCTTCAGATATGGCATAAAGTATTCCTATTGGTTGAACTACTTATCATGCTTATATAAAACAGATTTTGATTGGTAGGGACCATACAAATGGGCGTGTCATCAGTGGTCAAAGATAAGATAGAGGCGGTCCTTCAAGAGATAACACAGGGATAAAATGATGTTCAGAATACCAACTTACAACAATATTAGCGCTGTGTTATCTCTGTGAGATACAACAAAAGATAACACAAAACTTACAACAATGTTCAGAATACCACCCCTGATCAGCTACAAAGGAAGCATCTTTGCTACTATTTGTACATCATATGTACCTGTATATTAAAATTATTTTTGAGATCCTGGGAAGAGGTGCTCTCCAAAACAATAAGTGTTTAAGACTTGACATCATACTTACCCAGAAAGACAACAACCCTTTACTTGCTTACTGCGTTAGTTCCGTCAACAACATGCCTTGTCAACATTTATATGATTGTATACAAAGTCAAAAGATGAAATAAAATATTTCCCTTTTACTAACCTCAATAGAAGTGTACATGTATTTATATATTTTAAACAAAAATGATAACATAAAATTGACAGATATGGCAAAATTCAAGATCAATCTGTCAAAGAATCTACTATCCACGTACATGTAAATGTATATTGAATGGGTTTCTTTTCCACATGAAGCTCAACACTTGCAATTTGTAGTATCTATAATGTAGTATGTACTTCTACCATAATTGTGTTTAGGTGATAAACTGTGTATAATTGTATATTCTAGAGGATTCTTTTTCCACGTAAAAATCACAAGTACCTCCAATGAATAACAATAATAATAATTTTGTTATAAATGTAATGCTTCCTGGGAGAAATTTAAATTGTTTAAACATATTTGTGGCTTTGTTTACTGGGTGTAAGCCACAAATAAGTTTAAACAATAATAATCATAACGTCCGCTTAGTCTCGTTGATATATTATCTATATTGATACATTATATGCATAGATGTAGATGTAGGGGATTCTTTTTCACATAAAATAAACAATCGGGGATATATGTCTCTCTAGTAAATAACAATTATCAAAATATATCTCAGGTAATAAATTATCAATACATTTGATTCTCCAAGGGATGAATTTCCACATGAAAATCAACATTGGCAAATAGATAGGTACAGTGTAGTATAATTACTATAAAAGTCCCACATCCAACCATGTTTTAACCAGCAGACGTGGAGAACCTCATGTCAGAATGCTAATTCTATTAGGTATTCCTCAGGCTTGATTGTACATGAAGTCTTTTTCATTTTACAAAACTACATGTGTGATGTATAAATTTAAAACAAAAAAGGTAATGAAAAAGAAAGTGTTAAGTCCATTCAACACATTGATAATAACTGATTTTATCTTCTTATTATCTCTTCCAGTATGAAAAAAATAGTTAAACTCTTTGAACTTTTGCTTATCTTTTCTGTGTCTTAAAATTTAGTTCTATTCCAGTCTTCAAAATCTTAATGCTATCTTTCATCGTTCATGGTTGGGGAAAGATTAACAGGAGTCATCTAGTCTCAAACTAGTAGTCAACAAAAGATAACATAACTATATTTAAATACTCTATTCTCTATATAATTCATTCATCATGCTGCGTAGTCTCTAGACTCAAAAAGGAGGAAAAAATATAATTTCCGATGTTGAAGGAGGGATGGCCGTTCCTCCGTAACCAACAAAAACCATGCTGCCACATGAAAGAGTACACGGTCAGCTTGAACTCCTGACTACGATGACAAGCTGAGACTGCCCACTATTTGAATTACATGTATGTATACACTTTGTACATGTGACAAAAGTTGATCGTGGCACTCCACTGTTTGTTACATTAGTTGACGGAAGCAGACAAAGAGATAAAAACCTCTCCATCTTGAATAGCCAACTACAGACTTCACAGACATCGCTTCAAAGACCATAACGAACGGTCCCCTCTTCCTTACTCTTTCTTAATACATCCAGTTCATGAACTGAAGAAGGAAACCTCTTATCCTGGCTATGTTGGCATGGTGCATGGTGCGTCTCTTGCAGTTCTACTCAGCTCCAGTCCCCTTTCGTTTACTGAACAATTCAACTGTTTGAAAAGTCACCACTTTCAAGACGAAGATATTTTCTAGACCTGTAAGGACATTGTCTCCTACCTCTTCCTGGCATTTATATATAATATAGAGGAATATAAAATGGGGAAACCCCTTCTCTAAACATAATGTCACTTCGTCTCCTGATCATCAAGGTCAATTTCATTCTTTCATCATTTCCTCACGATACAAACAGTCTCCAAACAATTCCCAAAATGAAGACTTCCATCTATCGTGTTCAACAAGAGTCCTAGGGGGTAACTCCTTCAAGCAATCCCCATGCCATGCTCACTCCTTTCAGTACAGGGCTTCAATCTATCAGTTTCTATCCATCTACCCTGATGATGTGTCTCCAATGATTCCCCAATTTTTTTAGAAATGTCCACTCTACCATACATCTTCTTAAGGAAGCCAAGGGGGGGGGGGGGGGGAACCCCTAATCACGTCTACGCTGCCACCAAGCCAGCACCATACCGTGCGACAGCGGTTCAATCCATGAGATTCTGTCAATCTCCCCAAGTGTGAACAGCCTCCAAACAATTCTTCAGTGAAGACTTCACCCGTGGAGGGCAATGCCCCTCTCCTCCATTTGTCTAGTTGAGGAAACTAAGGGGGAATCCCCTCCTCCTGTCTAGGCCACCATGGTTGCCACTCCCACTTTTTGCAAGGGGAATCCCCTCCTCCTACTTCACCCGAGGAGGGAAATACTCCTCTTCTCCATTTGTCTAGTTGAGGAAACTAAGGGGGAATCCCCTCCTCCTGTCCAGACCACCATGGTGCCACTCCCACTTTTTGCAGTTGTGGTCCAGGGCGTGGCTCCTCCACAGCTTCTCCAGAAGGGTATGTCTCTGCTCGCACAAGAAGAGCGGCTTGCCTCTCCTATAGGAAAAGTAGTGGAGGGAAAATTAGGTATTGGGATGTATTCTATTCGAACGGCAACAGTGCATCGTCTTCATCGTCGCAATCCTAGATATATTAGTGGGAGGTCCAAATTTTCTGTATATGGAATGTCTATGTTATCCTTTATTTTCTTTGTTTTCAAACTTACCTCTGTTTGCTAAATTTGCTGTTTGAAAATGTATACATAGTACCTGTATACAACTATTTTGTTTAAAGTGACTGTTCCCCTTTCAAATCCAATACAAAATTTGGGGGCTTACCCAAACTACATATCGGCTTTAACAGTTTTGTACAAATGTTTATGCAAGGGGGAAAAAAATTCAACTGTCTAATACTCACTCGAGGTCAATTTCTTCTTTACCATGGTTCCAACTACACATGAACTTTGAGAGCTTGATGCTTATTGGATAATTCAAGGGCAAAAGCAATCCACTGTCCAATACTCACTTGAGATCTATATCTTCTTCTCCATGACTGTCCAGGTAGAGAGAAACCCAGGTGCATTTGCGCTCCCCTCTGATGAGCAGCATCGAGGAGGAGTTGATGTCCAAGTAGACAGCGGTTCCTTTACCACAGTAGTTGGCATGCTGCAGAGGCAGAGGAGAGGAAAAGCAAAATTGATTGAAATCTAAAATGTGGTCCTGGGATAAGTCCGAGATTAATTTAATTGTGTGATCTGTTGAAAAGTAGGGGTGATGAAGCAGCAGAGGGATAGACAGGAAAAGTGGATTGATGATAATAAGAGATGATAAAAGATGATGAAGATACAAACAACAGAATGTGTGTGAACTGCCATGTCATTAACATCATCCTCTTCATTGCAACCACTATTACAGTCATTGTTGTCATCAACAACACCAACACCATTAAAAAAAAAAAAAAAAAAAAAAAATCACTATCACCACCATCACCACCACTACCACCACCATTTCCACTACCACAACCGCCACTAGCACCTCCACCACCATCACCACTACCCACATCATCACCATCACCACCAACATTTTTATCGGCATCTGCATCACCTTCAAACCACAACCACCCTCATCATCCTTCTTCATCCTCCTCCTCCTCCTTGCGTAATCATCCACACTATGACCAGACCACTTACCGTGATGCCTTCTCCGACATCCCTGCCTTTCACCTGCCCCTTGCAGCAGTTGGCTCCCCAGCAGACCAGCTTCCCGCAGATCAGGCAGACCAGCGGCTTGTCAGGTTTCTTCTTGCACATCAAGCACACTTGCTGGTTGTACCGCTGGAACAGGGAGTTGTAGTCGGGAGGCAGTTGGAGCAGACGAGGAAGGCAGTACGTGGGACTGGCCATCAGAAGATCCTACATGCAAATCAGGAACAAATAAACAAAAGCATATAAAATTTGTGACAGAGATTTTTCTTTTCTTTACTCTCTTGCTGAATTGCATAGAAATATGTAATGTTTATAGCTGCACAAGTGGGACGATCAAATCATTGCAAAATTTTGTGAGAAAAAACCAAACCCTTGGACTCAGTTTCTTTTTCTTGAGTTAGGAGAGAGAGTGAGCCTAGGAGAGAATATGAAAGAGACAAGAAACATAGGGAATAGGAGGGGATAGAAAATTGTAGGAAATAGGTATGGAGAAAAAGATGCAATAGAAGAAGTAATCACCATACAGGAGAGTCTCTTCACATCTCCCTTACTCGCCTTGGCCATCGAGTGGGACTTCTTCACAAACTCAGAGAAAGAGAAAGAGAGAGAGAGAAAAAGAGACAGAAACAGAGACAGAGATAGAGAGAAAGACAGACAGACAAAGAGAGAGAGAGAGAGAGGTAGACAGAGAGAGAGAGAGAGAGACAGAGGAGATAGAGAGAGAGAGACAGAGAGATAGACAGACATAGAGAGAGAGAGAGAGAGACAGAGAGAGAAAGACAGAGAGAGAGACAGAAAGAGAGAGACGGACACAGAGACAGACAGACAGACAAAGAGAGAGAGATAGAGAGAGAGAGAGAGAGAAAGAGGGAGAAAGAGAGGGAAAGAGAGAAGGAGAGGGAGAAAGAGAGGGAAAGATAGGAGAGGGAGAAGGAGAGGGAAAAAGAGAGTGTTAAAAAGAGAAAGATAAAGAAACAGAGGAACAAACACATCTGAAAAATAAACATCATACGTGTATACATAACACACATCTATTTCACTTACCTTGGACGCTGAGTGTGACCTCTTCACAAACTCACAGAAGGGATTGCAGAGGGCCGCTACGATGGAGGTTGGTTCTCGTCTAGCCGGGGGCTTGAAGCATTGGGCAGACACCAGACCAGATGAACTCTGGGCCTGGTCAGGGTCCGTAAGGCACAGGAATGCGGCCAGAGTACGGAATTCATCCTCGGGATACTGCTCCACAAAAGAACAGAAAGAGGATTAATGTTCAGATGTAAGTTTTGAAGCTGGTGCACAATGTAAGCTATAACCCTTTTTTTGTTTGTTTGTTTGTTCATTTGTTTTCAAATTTAGAGGAATTATGGACATATTAACAGATTACCTATTGGATGTCTCTGAAAAATGATTGACTTGAGTTAAAAAAGAAAAATTTGGTCTCTATGAAGTCATCAAATGGCACTTGACCATCTTAAACCAGTTAGTAAGCAAACTTACTGGTGAATATAAACTGTGACATGCTTGTAGCTGATATGATATTTTACCTCGCATTTTGGCAGGTCTTCTTCAAACAGGTAGTGTTGGACCAAAGCAACGATCCTCAACCATGGGAGGCACTGGTGCACCAGGGCAGCCTCAACGGTCTGGGGTGACCACACAGCTTGGTACAGCTACATGAAGGGAGCAAGGAAAGAAATGGAAGAAAGAAGTGAGTCAGAGAAGTAAACAAAGCAGGTTGAAGTTAATATTAATGTTACCTCACTGCCAAGAAAGAATAGGCTTTTCGATAATAAATACAAAAAATAGTGCAACTCATGGACCTACGGCTTTCAGTCTAAACTTCAATATTTGCTCATTGAGAGTTACCGCTTTTAATAGATATCACTTAATTGTAATCTGAAACCTTCAATTTAAATTTTGTTTGATTCTGTATTAACATTTCATTTTGTATCATTGCCCAAACTAAAAGTTACCAACCAATCTCATGTTAATAATAGGTACAAGGGCAAAGGTAATTGAAAATGAAAATGAAATAAATTACATTTATCGAAAGCCAGAAAGGTGCCAGCAAATAGTGGGTTCATGCATAGTGCTCATGTCTGTCAAACTTCACACTTCTAGCATTTCAAGGAAATAATTCCTGCCAGATACCCATTTACACCACCTGGGTCAAGTGTGGCAAACGTAGATTAATGTCTTGCCTTAGAAGATCAGTGCCACGGCAGGACTCGGACCGCTGACCGTGTGATCCATTGTCCGGTGACATATCCACTCAACCACGACACCTTGAATAGCATTGACACAACTGATATCATTTCACATAGACCTAATGCCCTTCTGTCTCTACCGGTAATCAGATGATATGCTTACCTGAAAGGAAGTGCTGGTGACAAAGTCTGCATGTTGGTAGAGATTGGTTTGACTGAGCTGCGAGATGACATCACTTAACAGCCAAGCCATCCCGATGTCTTTCTCTTTCTTCTCAGACTAATGGTTGGTTGAAAAATAGAGAGAGAAATAACCTGAAACCCTCAAGTACCAATGTATACCGATACAGCATAGAGGATCAACCCATTAATAGAATTCTTTGATATCTATATCAAAGTCTACATTGCCTGTTTGGAGCCAGAAGGGCATTAACTTATATAATTTAAAGCCCCTCTAAAGAGTTGGGAGCCCCCAAAATTGGATGGAAAATTTTCACTTAAAATGTGAAAGAGGATGTCATTAAGACACATTTAAGCAAGGATTTTCAAAACAAATGTGTTTGAAAAAATTTGCACAAAACACTTATTTAAAATAACAAGCAGTGTGATGTAATACTTTTGACAAAAGAAATGGGTTTGGAATGTATGTACTCCAACATGTACGTGCATACTGTTTCAATACACTTTTTATATTCCTCTTGAGTCATTAGAAAAATAAATTCATTGTTTATGCAACTGTTTTCTTGTTTTTATCCAATTGCATTGTAAGCATCACTGCATGTCCAAACTTCAATATATTCATGGAATTTACACATGATGAAAGTACAAAGTATTGCATTACCTTGAGTGGTCTGCCGCTACTCTGCCAGGCTCTCCTCTCCGACTCTGGTAGCCTGCAGCTCAGGGAGGCTAAGGCCTGGACGTAGACCAGATGGTATACAGTACTCACAATGCACTGGAACAATGCTAAGGAGAGGAAGAAAGAAAGAGAGTAATGAGAATAAATCTACATCATATGTGTTATTTAGTTACATACACTTTATTTCATATTTAGTCTCATCCAAACCCTAGTAATGATATATACTCTATACAATAATCAGATTACTAACAACTTTAATAAACGTGGTCAGCAACTTTTGGAACAAAACAGCTTGCACTTGCAATTTTGGGGCATCTTATTTTTAAAAAAATCAGAGAGCATTTTTCTAAATAAGACATTTGAAACCTATTTATGCTTGTGTTTCATAAATTCAAGAATATAAAAAGCCAAATACTGAGCACAGAGAGATAAGGAAATCAAGATACATGTAGCCATGTCATGACATGTCAACCACTAGAAAATGTTGTCTACTTTAATTGAATATGACTTCAAACAAGCCTTCGTTACTTTGCTTATATTTTGATGGTCTAAATATTCCATCTAATGCATGATATACCATATTCAGAATTACTTTAAAGGTATAGACCAGTTTTGGAAACGCCCCCCTCTCAAAAAATGGAATGGAAGCTCTTACTACCAATCATGTGAAAGAATATGTTTTGACTAATACGCGATGATACAAATTTTGCCGGGAAACCGCCTACTAATTGATATATTTGGTCAATTATCATATCTATCTGGACTGAATAGATATCACATAGTCCCTATACATCTTTTTGTGTACAGTGCTTGTAACTTTACCAAGACTGAGCCAAATTTATTATCTTTTTGATGATTCCAGAACCTTGCAGCACACACCAATACTTATATGCTAGATGATCAACCATTTTCTGATCGATTCCACAATGTTTCTTTTACAATGCAATCGCATTACCAGAACTGGTCTTTACCTTTAAGCCAAATACCTAAAAATAATCACTTTCATTACCACAAGTCAAGATTAGCTCTCGTTCACCTGCAATACTCCTTACCTTTCTCTACAGGTTGTGGTATACTGAAGACAAAGAGAAGAAATAAGGCCACTGGGTCACAGACCAGTACTGGAACTCCAGTGTCAGCTGCAGCCATTCTACTGTATACAAATCAACAAATTTAATATCAAAGAGAAGGTTGAGTTGATTTGTGGGCTTTAGCTCCCTTTCCTTTTTTATTTCTATGCGCTAGAATATTGTACATGTACGTGTAGTCGCAATGTCGCATGAAAGTGATTGCTTTTAAAATGCCCTCATGTTCAAAATATAACTAGATTAGTTAAAAATCTAATTTGGACCCCATTTCAAAGACTTACCGTATTGGTTACTCTGTCATTTCCTCTGCAAGCAGATCTCTTGTTTTGTACTAAAAGGTGTATAATATGTCCTTATTCTATATCTCCCCCCCCCCCCCATGAAAGTGATTGCTTTTAAAATCTGTCATATTCGAAATATAACCAGATTAGTTTTTAAATTAATTTGGACCCCATTGCGAAGATTAATTGGTAACTCTGTCATATCCTATGCAAGCAGATCTCTTGTTTTTTACTAACAAGAGCATATAATTACATTATTCTCTATCTCCCCCCATAAAAAGAAGAAATATTTGAAAATATATCAAAATGCGACATAAACATGAACAAAGCTCCCTTCCCTGCTCCTCCTAATACATGTAAAACCGGTCTATAAAGACCACCCAAGGGGGACAAGAAAAGTGGTATCTATAAACAGGTGGTCTTTATGTACAGGTTCCTTTAGTACATGTTGCAAAGGAAACAAAAAAATGTGGTCTTTCTATACCCGTGGTCACTAAAGCAGGTCGGACTGTACATGTAAATGAAGCGATTGGAGACTGGCTGTAATACTCAGGGTGGAGTGGAATACTCTATTACTTCTGAGTGGTAAGGCACCATAACAAATTCATTCATTATAATTATATGTGGAACTTGTCAGAGAATGAATGATTTATACTTACACATTTGCATATGCTCCAGTGACCAGCTTAGTCCACATCTTAGCGACGTGTGCCCCTCTCGTGAGCTGCCTTGCATGTATGTCTAGTATCCGTAGCAATGGTTCTACAATGTTAAAACAAAGACCGCTTTCAGCTCCATTCATACGAGCAAAATTATTTAGGAAACCATAATGATTGGTAGATTGTTTTGTCACATTGTAGAGGTGTCGTGGTCCAGTGGATACGTCACCAGACTGTTGGCTCATAAGGTCTGCGGTTTGAGTCCTGCCGCGGCACTAATGTCCTTTGGCAAGACGTTAATCTTCATTTGCCACACTCGACCCAGGTGATGTAAATGGGTTCCTGGCAGAAATTAATTCCTTGAAATGCTAGAGCACGGGATTGGCAGCCAAGCTAAAGCTGGGGTGATAATTGTGGCCCATTAGGGGGGTGTTTCACAAAGATCCTAAGTCAAACTTAACTCTTAAGTTGGACATGTGTTTGCTAATGAATGTACTTCGTGGAAGATGTCAAGGTCTTACTAATATCCTGTGACATATTTGTCACACAATTATTCAAAGGGCAAAATTCAAATAAGATGTAATATGTTCTGCACAATGTATAGGGTGATCAATGCTTGGAAAAATATCAAAAAGATTATTGGGAATATTGAAACACCTCTGCTGAAGTTTAAGTTACCAGTAATGTATATACAGTCAAATCTATCTATAGCGATCGCCCAAGGGAAACAAAAAAAAGGCCTTTGTAGACAGGTTCATTTAGTACATGATTCAATGAGAAACCCATTTTCAAGGGAAACAACAAATGTGGCCTTTGTAGACAGGTGGTCACTAAAGCAGGTTTGACTGTATTTGGTGCTCCAGGTATAGAATACAACTGACTTTGAAATGAACTTACTGATGCAGCTGCGTTTCTGTGCTGTGTTAGCGTGGTTGAGCAGATTGCCCCCTGCAGACACTATCTCCAATTCTAGGTTGATTCTGAAGAGAAAAGAAGGAAACATTTATTATGTTTATCAGCTAAGGAAAGAGTGGAGGGAAGGAAGAGAAAGAAGGGGAGACTGCAAGAGGAGCAAGGGAAGAGGGGAGGGGATAGGGGAGGGTTGGCAAAAGAGAGAGAGGGTGAGAGTGAGAGAGGGTGAGAGAGAGAGAGGGGGGAGAGATGAACCTGGAGAGGAAGAGAGATAGAGAGGGTGAGAAAGGGGGGGGGGGGGGGGGAGAGAGAGAGAGAGAGAGAGAGAGAGAGAGAGGGTGTGAGAGAGAAGGGGGAAGAGAGATGAATAGGGAGAGGAAGAGAAAGAGAGAGGGAGAGAGATACATGAATAGGGACAGGAGATTGCCCGACGTAGGACTGTGCATCAGCAACTGGTGTGGCCTTTGACATGCCATGCAAGGTTCCATAATGACAAAATAGCAAAATGAACAGTGAAAAACCATGGTGCTGAATTACTTGCATCTTGGCATGATAAAGCCTTCATATGCTTGACTGGCAGAAGGAATAACTCAATTGAAATGATGCCTCGCATAGAACAGGCATTAGCGACATGGTTGAGGGTTGACTGAAGTTAAAGTGACTCTGTAACATTACCTCAGATTTTGAAACAAAATTCGAATTTAGCTCATGCTGCAATCATGATTATAAACCTGTACGTCAGTCAGGAATCCCATGACTTTTACAAGCCTATCGCCTGTCTGATTATCAAGATATTTATGATTGGATATTTAAATTTAATTTTTCGCTTTCCTAACAGTTTTTATAACACTACAGTCTATTGGGAAAATGAGTATGGTAAAACCGGTCACTCAAAGATTTTAAAACTTTTTTGAGGCACTTCATGATAATTTTGAAGTGCAATTTTTTAAGGGCTTCAATTACACCATAACACAGACATTGATAACATGTAGGGCCGTGCATCTCAGATTTAACATTGTTAAACGATGCCTTTAAGATCTTTACCTTGCTATTGAGCAGATTCTTGGGTAGAGTCCATCAGGGCTTGCCTTCATATCCTCCAGGTCGTCACATTCATTCTCTCTCCAAACATCATTGATGAACGTCTGGATAGCACCACTCTGCTCTGGACTCATCTCAACAGAAAACTATAAAAAAAGTGACAACATAATAATAATAATAATAATAATAATAATAATAATAATAATATGTCTTGTTTACCCAGGGTAGCCTCATTAGTATACATACTGTTCTCCCTGAGAGCCCTGAAATCATATCATTACCCCGGCATAATAACCATTCAATATCTTCAAATGGGAGAGAACACATGCATCCTAACAATATCAATTAGCTCACTGACTCCCAGATAAGAGGTAATTTTCAGGTTCAATGTTCGGCAGATTAAGGTCACTAGAAATAGAAATTAATTGACCATGTTGTCCTCAGCTCTTCCCGACATTTCACCATGGTAACAATTGACCTTCACATAGTGCAAAACCAGAAACTTTTGTGACTTGAAACTTTAACGAACTGTTACCAGCAGCCATTTTAGTGGCAAGAAACTTCCACAAACTGTTAAACTTCAGTGTTATATATCTATCAGTTTGAGGCATGAATTTGGACCACTCAACAAATTTGTGGAAGTTTAATGCACATAAAACTGTTTCATTTTACAGTTTATGTATCAAATTATTTGATACATAGACATTTGGCTGTTCAACAATTCATGTAAGCTCGCAAAACTTTATGGTATTGTAGTAGATTGGTAGATAGTAGCTTCCTATGACAAAGGTGTCTAATTCATCCTACCAAATTTATTAAAATTCAGACTTACCATTGGATCTGACCGGGGTGTTTTTCCACTCAGAATATGGGTGACTCGGTTCAGGGACGTCTTCTTCCGCTCCAGCGAAGTGACCTTGGAGGGTCTGATAGGGATGAACGGCAGGACAGAGTTGGCCAGCTGCCGACATAAAGGGCACTGGAACTCTCCTCGCCTTCGTACGTCCAGATCGTGCGCTTGGTAGTTATGACCCTGAGGGAAGGGGAAAACACAGCCCATCAATAATTATCTATTCACATAGTAGTATTATCTATATGCACTTTAGAGTTTTCAAGCTGGGTTAAAGCCGTAATAGAATATCGAGTACTGTTTTTCTTCAATTGCGGAGTATCTATTCATTTGAGCCAAGTTGAGGGCAAGATGAAAGAGATAAAATAAAGAAAGGTATGCCTGGTGACAGTCTAGATGAAGGGAGAGTCAACATGTCTACATATGGACCCTACCCCCTATTAGGTCACCTTTACTAGGATCGCACGAGGTGGGGGGGGGGGGGCAAGGAGGAAGGGGTCAAGTGAAAGAGGAATGGATATACTTACCCTGAGTGATGTGAGGTATGCTTGGTGACAGTCTAGATGAAGTGAGTGCCCACACGTCTGGATGTGGACCCCGCCCTCCCAGCCAGTACCAGCTGCTTCCCATGATCTCTCCTGTAAAGCAGATAAACATTCTAGGTGGTTAAACCAACATTCAAAATAGTGATGTTAAACTCCTCCACTATGTATACTGATGCATATAAATATATAATTTTTTTGAAAACTCAAATAATGTCATGAGAATCAAAATATTAGCTTTAGATATTATCATTATTATGTTGGTGTCACCTGTGCCTGGGAGGCGAAAAGCGATCTATATCAATGTAACCCTCAGGATTCTCCTTCCGGTATAACTGATTGGGGGTGTACAGGTGGACCACTACACTTGGGTTTCATATGAATAGTGCAGTTGGTTTCCAACATGCAAAGGTTGTGACTCTCCTCCACACAGGGCCTCCATTTAACATCCTATCCGAAGGACGGAGTGTTTTTCACTTAAGATAGCTTGCGTCTATGAAACGGGAGGGGCGCGTTAACACACAACGAAGGCTTCAGTCATCCATCTGGGTTGGATTTGATCCCATGATCTTTGGTTCGACAGGCAGATGCTTTAACAACTGAGCTATTAAAATAAACTTGCCACATCAGCATTCAATATTTGTCAGAATATGGACATTGCAGAAAGATTTCACATTTTGGTTATGACTCTACAAGTCCAATGGATGTCATAAACTGACAAATTAAACATCACATTAAAGTAAACTACTTGCAATAGCACTCATTACATACCTACACATGTATCTTTAGTGCTCAATATACAAGTCATAAATTTGAATAATTTATCTTTTTTTCACCTTTCCAAAGCTGTCAAGGAGCGTCGAAAGCCTCTGCATCTCCTCTCTCCAGCATCTCCCCATGCTAGTCAGAGAGGTGTCCTCTCCTACAGGTAGCGGGATCCTCTGATCATTGAGGCATCTATGGCCTAGTACTGCAGGACAAATGGAAGCAAAGACATCTTCTCATAACAAGGGTCAAGGAGGTGACACAAGCTTATGACTACTAATACCACCACCATCATCAACATCAATGTAGTCAGAGAGGTGTCGTACAGGTAGGTAGTGGGATCCTCTGATCATTGAGGCATCTATGGCCTAGTACGACAGGTCGTAAACAAATTACACTGGTAGGATTAGTCAAGGAGAGAAAAGTCAAATACCAAAGCTTCTTAAGGGATGTGTTGGAGGGAAGAGTGGAAGGAACTAGACCGAGAGGGAGACCCAGAATCACCACAACTACCACTACAGCTTCTGTCACCACCACTGCCACCACCACAACCACAATCATCATCAACATCAACCACCATCGTCACCACTAATACTACTGCCACCACCACAAACACAACCACAACCATTATCACTGACACAATCAACACCAACGCAACCACCATCGTCACCACTAATACTACCACCACCGTTATCACCACCATACCATCATCACTTACCATTAATTGCTTGCATGAGTACCACTTGTCCGATTGGTTTAGTTGCTGTTGAAGGGCTTGTTTGCCACCACCACCACCATCATTAATGACACAACCACAATCAACATCAACGCAACCACCATCTTCACCCCTAATACTACTGCCACCACCACAAACACAACCACCACCATTATCACTGACACAACCATCATCAACATCAACGCAACTACCATCGTCACCACTAACCCTACTACCACCGTTACCATCACCATACCATCATCACTTACCATTAGTTGCTTGCATGAGTACCACTTGTCCGATTGGTTTAGTTGCTGTTGAAGGGCTTGTTTGTCCACATATCACACACTCATATTCTATCTCTGAGGTAGTAGCTTCAGCTGCACTCTTGCCAGGATCATGCTGATCCATGCTCTCATCATCATCTGAAATTGCAGAGAAGAAAAGAAAGTTAAAATTGAGTTATGGTCATGCGATTGCATTGTGAAAGAACGATGTGGAATCGAGCAGAAGTATTGGTGTGTACTGCAAGGTTCTGGAATCATCAAAATGCTAAGAAATTTGCCTAGTCTTGGTAAAGTTACAAGCACTGTACACAAAAAGATGTTAATGGGATGTATATATACCGGTAAATCTTTGGTGAAGGTGATTACTGGTGAAAGTCTAAAGTGATTTCTAAACGCAACTTGATAAATCAAATATAGTGACAAACTAATAAAGCACAGTGTGCACATCAGAAGTCAAACAGATACATTGACAGGTTCTATACCTTGTTTTTCGAGGGTCTTCTCCAAAAACCTCTTTTGCTGGGATGCAAAATTTGCAACAAGTTTTTTCTGAGCTTCCTGAGCCTTTTTTCTCCTGCAATGCCAATGAAAAGAGAGAAGAAAAGAAAACGTGGTCAAAATTTGTGTTGCCATGAGCCTAGAAGTTACTACTTTTCTTTTGACTATATTCACAAATGTCTATACTGTACATTGTCACACACCATGATACATGTACATTATAACTTTTCTATAGTATATATCATACCACTGTCCTGTCACTACAAAAAGGAATTCAAACAAAATGTCAATAATTTGACAATATATAATCTATTCTTGTATAGCATATTTCACATTATGGTATAACATTTGTGCATGCTCCGAAAGAGCTTTGGAAATTGTTTTAGTGCCTTAAGCTCTAGAAACTATTTCTAAGCACATTTCATTTCAAGGGAAAAGGCTACTGAATATCCACTCACTAAACCTGGGTTGAGAGTGGAAAATGTAGATTGATGTCTTGCCATAGGATGTGAATGAAGTGGAAGGGACATGAAACCAGAACCTTGTGATCTGGAGTCTGATGACTTATCCACTAGACCACAAGAAGTCTACAAACATAAATGTACTAATTAATAGATCAAATGTAAAGTAGCAACTGGCAACTGGCAACTAGACAGCCCAAAACCGCCCCTCCTTTACCTCACTGAACGCACTGTAGTACCCGTTCTATAGGGTCTACCGCGATAATAACTATATACGCGCGTAATCCTTTCAATGTCTACAGTAGGATTCTGCATAGAAAAATAGCGCTTGTTTAATATTGTTCAGAACAATGTCAAAATCATGATATTATGCTATCTTCCAGTGAGTAATAGGCCATTTTTACAAAATCTCTAGTTGCCAATGGGTTAAAGAGCTGTGTTCTCATGAGGACCTACCTCTCTGCAGCCGAGTCTACAGGAGACTTGGAACTGCTCTGGGCCTGTTCCTTGTCCTGCTTGTAACACGAAGCCTCCACAGCCAGGCTCTGAGCCTCGTTCATGGAACAGAACCGGTCCAGAAGAGCCTGGATGTAGTAGGGTCCACTGCCAAAACAGTCCTGGAAATAAATTCAAAATTATTGTTTACAAAATGATGTCTTGTAGAGGCAATGAATTCACACATATGTCTAATATTTCAAATTTGTTAGAACAAGACAGAAGGTAAGGCATAGGCAAATGTAGATGGATCAGTAACTTTGCTACAAGGAAAGCTAAGGAGGAAATGAAAGTTAAAAATATAAAGAGGGAAAGAGAGATAAAGTGAAAGAGAGAGAGAGAGAGAGAGAGAGAGAAGGGGAGGGGAGAAGTGTGATAAAGGGAAGGAGAGAAACAAGAGTGCAGATGAGATAGAAAGGCAGAAATGGAGAGAGAGTTAGAGAGAGAGAGAGAGAGAGAGAGAGAGAAATAAGAAAGCAACACCGACATATATAACAAGCTCAACTGAGAAATTAGACAGTCAAGAGACCAAAAAAGATAAAGATACTCCTAATATAAGACTGAAATAAAGATGAAATACCTTTTGTTCCATCCCAGGTGTTCTCTTGCTGATGGGTATGTACGACCCCTCTCTCCCTGTCTGCTTGCTATGCAGCTTAATGAGTAGTGAGATCAGACTCTCACCTACCGGTATGCTGTAAGACTCCTCGGTGGACGGCCAGGTTATCGGCTGTTTACTGGCCTTGCCCTTACTCGTTCCTATGGTAGACAAGAAAATGACAATTAAAGACACATAGAAGCCAGCTCTCATGGGGAATTCAACACCGTTCGGGTGTTTACCCACTAGGGGGTGTTGTCAATCACCAGGGTTAGCCTTCAGTTTTATGACCATTAGACCTTATGTAATGCTTTGCTTTTTCCCTCACCCGAAGACTCTCCGAGAGATTAGGGGGTAAATCTTGATGGGCCTACAGGTTTGCTGGGTGCAGATTTGTACTCCTATTAATGGTATTTCCACTAAGTCTGGTGTCAGCGAATTATGACCTTCTGCACATGGAAACTGATGACCCACTCCTTTTAAGTGCTATTGACTGGTCATTTGCATCTTCTAATGACTGGCTATTTAATCACCTAGATCGAACAGGAAAGATAGAAGGAAAGGGGAATAAATGAAGAAGAAAAATACAATGGTACAACTGCCATAGATCTATGACAAATCCGCTCACAGCCGATCAAATGCCAGGATTTCAGTATCTTATAACAATTATCATAATTTGTTATTGATAACTTGATAACAGGTACATGTAGCTTGTTTTGATAATTCATCCTCACTACAGAATATTCTTTGCCTACCAGCGTACTGTTTAGGGGGTGTTTCACAAAGATCCTGAGTCAAACTTAACTCTAAGTAGGACTTAAACATTATGGAGAGCCATTTGTAGCCTTAAAATAAAATATATTCAAAAGCAAAAATTCTAGCATTGTAGACTTTTCATAAATTTCACATCAAAGAACATGAAATCTCCTTGATAATAGAAAATAAGAATGATTTGAATTAACATTTAATGCCTTTTAAAATAAATTTCACAAAATATTTTCAAAGATGCTAACAGCTTTCCATAATTGTTCAGTCCAAATTAGAGATAAGTTCAACTTAGGATCTTTGTGAAACATCCTCCTGGTCTTGATGCCAAAAGAAGCTTAGAATAGGCATACACGTGCCTGGGACATTTTTCCCACCGACATCATCATCGTCGTCATCATCGACAGGATGCACCATGCTATGCTCGATGACCTCCTCCATGACTGACTCTATTGCACTTTGTACGCTCTGACTTCCTTCATGTAGGACCTCGTTGTCTGGGAGACCAACGCCCCCTGCAGCTGCTCCAAGCCCCTCCTCCTCCTCATCATCATCACTCATATCTAGCAAGAAATAAAGACATAAGAATGGGAATAAATATAATGTATATACAATGCGACTCTGAACAATAACCCCTTCAGGCAGCAACAAGAAATTGATGAGGAAAAAAATATATAATTAAATAAATATTAAGATATATTAAGATTATTTCTGAAGAAACTCAGAAATTATAAAGACTTTCATGGCGAAGTATATTGTTTTAAATTTTTCACCCATCCAGTACTGAACTCTTTTATTCCCAGAGGATTTAATATGCCAGCCATAAGCAATGGGTTAATTAAATGAGTTGAGTGTACCTTCTTCAAAATAATGATGTGCGACCATCACCTCCTCCTCCTCCTCGTCTTCTTCTTCTTCTTCCTCAATCTCCTCCTCCTCGTCTGCTGTATCATCCTCGGCCATCTCCACATCTTGACCAGCTTGGGTGACCGCACTGACCGCTGCTGCGTTGGACTGATCCCAGGTCTCCAGGACAGAGGAGAGCTCCTGGTTCAACATCTGCTGCAGCATGGTGTCTGCATCAAAGACTAGGTCACTAGCAGGATCCTGCACATAGAGCATTATTATTAATTTGGTGTCACCTGTGCCTGGGAGGCGAAAAGCAAACTGAATCGCTGTAACCCTCTGGTCTCTCCTCCCGGTATAACTGATTGGGGGTATGCAGGTGGACCACTACACCGGGGGTTTCCCCCTACTCTTATACAAATAGTGCAGTGGGTTCTTAACGTGCGAAGGTGGTGACTCTCCTCTACACAGGGCCTCCATTTAACTTCCTATCCGAGGGACGGAGTATTTTCCACTTAACATAGCCTGCGTCTATTAAAAAAGGGAGGGGCAAAATACACTTCAGTCATCCGTCTGGGTTGGATTCGAACCCAAGAACTTTGGTTCGACAAGCAGATGCTTTACGACTGAGCCAACTGAAAGACAATAAACATGTCTGCATCAAAGAATAAGTCTTAGAGCTCAAAGCCTTTGGTAGACAGGTTGTCCTTCTTTAGGGGAGTGCTTCACGAAGACTAAGATCGACTTTAAGTTGGACTTAACTATGGCAGGCCGTTCATGCCACTGGTTGCTCTCACCATTGGTCTCTTAATTATGATCGTTAGGTTATTTTTTTCTTCAATAATGAACTATCAAAAAATGTAAATTCTGTAGATTTGTGACCAAGATTGGTACGTCCCTTGAGAAACCGATGCCAGCGAATGATGAGAGAAAATAGCGGCATGAACAGCCTGCCATAGTCAAGTCCAACTTAACGTCAATCTCGGTCTTTGTGAAACACTCCCCAGGTGTTCGCTCATTAAAGCAGATATCACTGTACCTTGCTGGAACTCTGTTCCTGCTGGTCTCCGGAGCCGATCGTGAGACTGTCGATGGTCCTTGTCATATTGGTGACGAGGAATGATGAATCATACCAAGAGGAGAGATCGGATCCTATGGGGGTGCGCAGTCTCTCAGGGGGCGTTGAATCAGAAACCTGCACAAGTTAAACAAATTCAGGCACAGAAATATATCAATACATCTTTCCTTTGATAATGTACTATTTCATTCAATATGACATTGCAATTATGCAACTAGAATTTTGTGATCGTACCTACATGTACGACTATGCGGCACGAGGGTCTGAAAATCAGACTACCTTCTAAGCCTATTTTTTGCAACGCGTTTTGAAAATTCCAAATGGTTGATATAATTCCACATAGAGGCAATTACCAGTTCTAATTTTTAAAGAGGAGTTTTTAGTTGGTGTTATCTCTTGTTTACCATAGGATTTACATAATTATATATTTTCTGCCTGCAAAAGGGACAGACTGTCTTTAAAATATATTTACCCATAAGAGACAATATTACAAATACCGATACATGTGTATTCTGATTTATATCAGGCTTAGTGTTCCTACAGGTTAACACTGTACAAAACTAAATAAAATTCAATTACCTGAAAATCTGCTGAACACTGCAGTCCAAGGTTGAGCAGCGCCACACACAGGCAGAGAACAGAGTCACTTATATTCTTGTCTTGGATTGCCTACAAGATAAGAAAGAAACGAAAATCAAAAGAACATTTTAAAATAAATCTAAAACTGTACTTCATGCGTTAAAACACTCTCAAATCCTGTAGCTTGATAAAGCTGGGAGGGGAAGGGGGAGGGAGGGGTCATTACCCTTTGTACTCACCTTTCCCTTTCCCCTTTCTTTTCTCCTTCTCTCTCTCTCTCTCTCTTTTCATTTTGAGGGGCATGAGCCCTTTCCCACTGTAGCTAGTATGGTTCAAATAGCAGCATGCAGGGTTCTGGAGAGGAAAACCCTTCTGACCCTAAGGGTATATATATATATATATATTTTTTTTTTTTTTGAGGGGCACTAGAATTTCTTATTTACTTTTCTTTCCCTCTCACCCTTTCTTTCTCCCTCTTCTACTATCCCCCTTTTAATAAATGATTGACGAGCACACCCCCTACCCCCTGTTGCTATGCCCCTGCATGCTACCATACTTACTTTATGGAGGATGTTGAAGATAGCAGCATGCATGGATCTGGAGTGGAGAAGTCTTCTGACCCCCTGGTAGATTGGTTTGATTGGTTTGAGGGGCTGGTAAGGGGGCCAGGGGTGGGTGCTACCCTTATACCGACCAGATTGCTTCAATCTAGTGGGTGGAAATGAAGGGAAGAAATTAAATCAGGTTTGTTCAAATTCACGTAGTTTCACTGATTGAACAGGACTGTATGGAAAAATAGATTTGGTTTTTGTCCATAATGACAGAATAAAACCATATTAATCAAAGATAACTACATTACTAACAGAGCTAGAACAACTACTGTCCTCTTCCTCTTTATCTTCTCTCTCTCTCTCTCCCCCTTGTTTTCTTCCATCTTCCTCTTCCTCTTCAACCAACGCTGGGAACACCACTAGTTACTATCCCTGCAATCTCCTGCACCAATATCACCACCGCTACTACTTCTAACAACCATTTCAACTCGAGGACGACAACAATAATCACAACCGGGATCTTACTGATCAGTGTATTTATCCAGGGAACTCTGCAACCTCCAGCACCACTATCACCACAACTTCTACTTCTAACAACAATTTTAACTCAAGAACAACACCATGAACTCGGCGTCCAACACTACATGTACTTTTTTGCTTCTAAATGGATTTTCTAATTTGTATGACTTCTTCTTATATAATCATTTCCTGTCTATTCAAAGCGCATAGAAGAATGCTATCTTGTAATGTGTTATGCGCTATAAAAGAACCAAGTATTATTACTATTATTAATAATCACAATTGAGACCTTACTGATCAGTGTATCTATCCAGGGAGCTCTGGAAGTCTTTGCGCTGCATGGACCTGAGCATCGTCCTCAGGGGATCAAACTCTGTCTGCCAGACGGATGGCTTGGGGGAGTACTGGCCCTGCTGTACTCCATCTACCTCCGTCTGTGGATCCCTGTAGTCTGCAACCTGCAAGGAAGACGGTAAGCAGTTGGAAAACAGTATTACATCATAGGGCAAGATGAAAGATGAGGAAGAGCAAGGGTCTTACAAATGTGATTAAGTAGTTATGTACATAATATTAAATAAAAAGAGGTAATAAGAAGAGAGAGAGGGAAGGAGGGAGGGAGACGTAGAGAGAGAGGGGGAGAGAGAAAGAGGGAGAGGGCGGGGTAGAGAGAAAGAAGGAGAGACAGAGAGAACAATAGACTTAGACATGGGATATTCTTATGTTTTTTTATATTGTATATTTTGCAAATTTGGAAACAACAATAAACGCTCTACACAAATACAATAAGCTATCGTGTGTGCATGCAATGTGCATCGTACAGTAGGCATAACAATTAGCGTGTGTACTTTTGCACGAAAATATATACATGTATAAGGTTCGTAATAATAGAATAAAATGTTAAAGAATGCCATTAACGCACTAACCTCATTCAGTATATCATCAAACCTGCCATTCGAGTTGATTAGGCCGGTTTTCTCTGGAATGTGATTTATACTGAGTTAAGGGAATGAACTATTTATGCTGAAGTACATTTACTTTTTACAAGCACCGGTACTTCCCCAGTACATACCATCAACAGAGATGACAGTGGTGGATCTTGGATAAAAATAAATCTTAGTACTTCTTTTTTGTTTAATTCTCTTAGATTTCTATTGTTCAATTTGATAAGTTAGGAATTAAATTGAGACCATGTCAGGCTGAAACATAAAGCATGTTGAATACATTAAGAATTCTCCTTATGGTTTAATTTTGAAGTTCAAAGTATTAAAGAGGATATGTGTGCAATGCTATCATAAGATGAATGATGTAACTGGAATTACATGTAGCAACAATAAATGTATACATACACTGTAGCAATGCACCAGTAACACAGAAAACAAAATATGTCCCTCTAAAGGGAAAAAGAGAAAAATTAAAGCAACCTGGCTCTATTTTGAAGGTGTTTTGAATTGAGGTTAACTAAGAAAAGGATATTTTATCTTGTAGATGACTATGTGTTCTGTCCTGCATACAAAGTAGAGTGACGATCTCATCCCGCATCAGCTCGATCTCTGACATTCCTGGTGAGAAAACAAATCAAGGGTTGTATATCACACGCTCTAGCTACAATTACTCCATGATCAATTTCAAACACTGACCAAATTCAAAACCTCAACCTTAAACCTAACACAATAGCTAACCATAACCCTAAACCAATATCTTTGACAAAATAAAGCATGACAAAAATATTTCCAGGGTACCTATTAGATCATCAAATTAAGGATACTCCATGACGACTTTCATTATTGCAATATTGGAAGAAAAATTTTACAAAGGGATTACCATAACTACTTGGGTGAAATGAAAGAGAAAACAGATACTGATATTACCATCCAGTAATACACATCTCGAAAATTTCAATTTAATGGCAAATTTGGGGATGTACCGGTAAATAGTTACGATTATTAACAAATCCATAATATTTCAAACACACTGATTATTATTTAATAGTGTACTTACTGTAATTCAAACTGCTCACAAAATAGAACCAGATTGAATAATAATAATAATAAAAACGGTGATTATAAAGCGCTTATCACCAAAGTTTTTAAGCACTATAACAAACAAAATACAATGATAAACAATTATATATTAAACAAAACAATGCAAATAATCCTACAAATTACAATACATATGAAATACACATCAATGTGAACAGAGCAAGTTAATCATCAAAAGCAATCTTGAATAAATGTGTCTTGACAAGTTTTGAATTGGTTAACAAATTGACAGTTTTTGACATTTGGAGAGTAAAGCCTCGGTCACAAATGCCATTACCAACTGCTACGAACGCCGTACGAACAATTTTCAGACAATGGAAATTCGGGAAGACAATGGAAAAACAGGGAGATTCGCACGAACCTTTGTGACCTTAGCTTTACAGAATAACCAAATTTTCACTTACCTAGATGCGTCCTGATGCTGACGAGCATTGCGATGTGTTGAAGGGCGCCCTCTAACATCGGCATGACTCTCTCTGGATCCAGCAGACCGGCTGGTTTGTTAGGGTCCACCACTAGCCATTCAAGCACATGAAATCTGAAAGAAGATGCATTAAAGTGACTCGGTAACATTGTCTCAGATTACGATACAAAGTCCTGGTTTTAGCTCATGCTGCGATCATAATTATAAACCTTTAGGTCAGTCAGGAATCCCATGACTTTTACAAGCCGATCAGCTGTCTGATTAGCAAGATATTTATGATTTGAAATCAAAATATAATTTTTCGTTTTCCTATGGGTTTTGATAACACTACAGTCTATTGGAGAAAATGAGTATGGTAAAACCGGTCACTCAAAGATTTTTAACTTTTTTGAGGCACTTTGAGGCAATTTTGTTAGGGCTTCAATATTAATTATTCAAATTATTCAATTTGTAAAAAAACGCCGGCTTGCACCAAGTAAATAGAGATCACATGTTTGATCTTGTAATACACCAGTTTACAGTTGTATCAGTGCGCATGCGCAGACAGTTGACCTCGGGTCATTGGCCCCGGAACGGGGCCAATAACCCGGTTCCGGGGCCAATAACCTCTGACCTCTAGTATTTATGCGTAAATTAAGATTGCGCCCATGCAAATGATGATGTGCGCGCACAACGCAGCGCGTAGGGCAGTGATATCATCAAAATTTGCATAGGCGCAATCCTAATACGCATAAATACATGACCTCTAGGTCATTGGCTTTGTTTAAAATGGCGCACACAACTGTAAACTGGTGTATTAAAAAAAGAAGTCAGGAAAGGTCTTTGAACCAGTGGGATTTGAACTTACCATCTACTGCTGGCCGGGCAGTGAGTTGATGATAACACCCCCCCCCCCCCCCTTCGAGAAGAATAAATTTTGCATAAATGCTCATTCTAACCTACCTCTTGAAAATGGTCTCCACTACATAGTCTGATTCTAAGAGAGAAGCACACACCTGAAAATAAAACAGAGAAATCGTTCAAAGCATGAAGTCACTTTTAATGAATGGACATCAAATGATACCAAAAAAAAGCATTGAACATGATGAATTCTAAATCCTCTCGTCCCCATAGGCTTAATACAGAGACCATCTGGTTCAAGGATATGCAAAGTGCTTTCTTGTGAACAAAGGCATATCAGAACAAGTTTTAGTTGCATTCTCCTCTCATAGGTTTCATTCTCGGGAAAGTCACCAAATGTTACGGTTGTGGTCTTAAAGCATCTACGAAAGACCTACTTGAAGAAAGTAAAGATCTAGGAAAGACCCTGGCCGCCTCCCCCCCCCCCCCCCCACTCAGTGTTAATAAGGGTACGCGCATGCATGTTCCCTCCCTTTGAAAGCACCCCCCCCCCTATATCTGGTGTGTAAAGTCAATAAGGGGGCCAGATTTTTGTGTATTACGGACCAGATTTTGTTGCGTGAAAAGTACCCCTTTACCAGAGTTTTGGGGAACATGAATGCAGTCCCTCCGAACCCAGAGTGGGGGGCTGGGAGAAATACCTACCTGAAGAAAGTATAGATCTAGATCACCCATGGAAGCACAAAAGTGACACTGCAGATAGGTCATCGCTTGACACTTCATCTGAACACCATTGCGCACCCACATACCACAAAAGATCTCACTCAGCTTGGCCTGTTAAGTGATACAATAAGGAAAATACAATAAAGAATTTCAAATTACATTCAACCTCAAATGGGGCATTCATCATATTTATATTTTGAAAGGAAGGTTTGTATAAATGTCCTTAAAGAGAAGGTTGAATTCTGGGAAGAGGTGAAAATAATTTGCAAGCATTATGCAAGTGTACAAGAACATCAGATAAAAAACGTTCCCTGAAAGCATGGATCTTCAAATGCCTTAATATTTTAAATATGGCATGTAACATCATACAAATCGGGACTGATACTATTGTCACATGTTTGTGTAGTCCCATATACATCTTTCTGTGTACAGTGCTTGTAACTTTACCAAGACTGGGCCAAATTTCTTATCATTTTGATGATTCTAGAACCTTGCAGTACACACCACTTATATGCTAGTCGATCAACCTTTTCTGAACCGATTCTACAATGTTTATTTCACAATGCAATCGCATGACCAGAACTCAACTTTATCTTTAAGAATTACATCCCCAAGTAATTGATATCTTCCAAATGTATTTCATTAAAATTGTATTATCAATGTACTAAGGCAACTACAGATGAGATGGGAACATGATAGATTACAATAATATAAATTGTGCTATATTGTTTTCTGAAACTAATTTTCACTGCTTTTGATTTTCACAAGATTGTCAATTTGATGAATCCGAACTTCATAGTAGATAATTATACCCAGTTCATCATACAATCAACCATTTAGAATAAATTCTAGACAGTTTCAATCACTATGCAGATATTGTTTTCTGAAACTCATTTTCACTGCTTTTGATCTTCCCTGATCAATCCGAACTTTATAATACAGAATGTTTCCCCGTTTATTATTCAATCAATCATTTAGAATAAATTCTAGGCAGTTTCAATCACTATGCAGATATTGTTTTCTGAAACTCATTTTTACTGCTTTTGATTTTCACAAGATTGTCAATTTGATGAATCCAAACTTCAGTATACACCATTATTCCCTGTTTATTATACAATCGACCATTTAGAATAAATTCTAGACAGTTTCAATCACTGTGCAATGGAATGACCTGGGGGTGTTTCATAAAGCCTTTTTTCAGTGACAAATTACAAAAATCAGTGACAAATCTGCTGATCAGAAGCAAGGATTTCAGTAGCTTATAACGAGAACTGTCATTTGTCACTGATGAAGGTTTTGTGAAACACCCCTCAGTGCTAAATGTCACCTTTGGCGTTGCAATAGAATGAACAACAGAGGGCGCTTTACCTGTATCTGTAGTGGGAAGACCATGAGTCTTGTCAGGAGCCCCTTGTCCAGTTTGATCTTCTCAAAGTCCAGGCCTTGCAGATTGATGGCCTACCAAAGTGAATAAGTTGATACTTAATGAAAGACAATACTGGTGATCATTGGATTACACAAGACTTGTCTGTCGTGAAGTCCACTCTTGGTGACCAACAACATATGTTATGGTAAACACCAGAATACTGTCAAAATCCCCATGAAAATCCGCTACTATGCCTCTTTAAGCCAGACTTAAAGCCCCACTGCACTACTTTAGCCAGGAGGAATTAGACCTCCCTGCAAGGTCACTGGCAGGTGGTTATCTCATCAAATCAGCTCTCAATTAACATAAGAAAAAGGGCATCATGGGGGAAACAACGAGTACCGCTTAGGCATTGTTGGCTGTAGAGGGCGCAAGTAGCTATAAGTAGTGCAGTGGGGCTTTAAAGGCTGCCGCCAACAGGAGAGTCATGGGTTATTTGAGGTTACTGACCTGGCTGAGGAAGTTTGAGAAGTATCGGAGGAGAGGCAGGTGGAAGGACACCTGGAGGGGGTGTAGCTCCCTCAGTAGTCTGCAATCGGCCAACCAATGACAAAGCTCCTTCAGACAAGCTAACAGCATACCCATGGTGTAGCTTGAGGCTTTCTGTTTGAACAAGAAGAAAATAAACAGGATAATAATAATAATAATATCAGATATTCATATAGCGTCATATCCACCATGTTTGGTGCTCAAGGTGCTCCAACTATTACCCCGGCTCTGCTAGTCAGCCGATTTCGGCGCTCACGGCATTCAAGGAATTCCTTCCTACCGATACCCATTTAACACCTGAGTGGAGAGTGGCAAATATAGATTAGTATCTTGCCAAAGTACATTAGTGCTGTGGCGGGACTCGAACCGCAGACACTGTGATCCACAGTCCATCGACTTATCCACTAGACCACAACACCTCTATGCGATGTAGTTAACCGCGACTTGGTGGCCATCTCTGTTTTTCGACCACTCTTCTACACTCTACATGTCATCTCAATTTCACAGGAAATATATGTATTGCAAGCCCTGTCCAGAATTAACATTTTGATTGCTCTCCTTGGCTTTCTCAACAGTCGCTTGTTTGCCCCAATGCAGTTTTGTACAAAACAATAGGCACCAATTGACGGAAGGATCGGTTTATGCAACCCATGGGCTTTGGAAAATTACCCATTTCTAGTCTTGATTACCTCCATGACAATCTTTTAACACCGGTAGATTAATCTTGTGCTGAAAAAAGTTAAATGTCTTGAAGTTTTGGTATATCTATCCCCCGATTAATACAATGAGGCATAGGGAGATTATTTGTGTGGTATGTAAAGAGTTAAAGGCTAACAATCTGTAGTGACAACTTTTACCAAGCCAATCTGGAAAATATTATCCTACATGTACTTCACCCTAGTTCATTTAAATTTAGAAGTGTTAACAGAACATTAAAGACACTGCAATGTAATAACATAAAATTGATGAATAAATATAGAAAATAAAAAGGGAATAAATATAGAAAATAAAAAGGGGATAAAAAGATGAACTTATAGATCATGAAACATAAAGATAATTACAAATACGGTACTGGATACAAGAAATTTTGATAGTCAGAATTTTAAATATATGAATCACTCAATCGATCTACCCAAAAAATTATAAAACATATTAAAGTTGCTCAAGCAGCACACGGACGTATGCACAGGAACGTAAAACTTGTCGGCTCAGTGTTATGTAGTGATCGCCAAGTTGCCTTCTTCACGAACGACTATATACCCACGCATGAACATCTTTACTAGTCAGAATATCATATGAATGACTTGACTGACCAATCTAAAAAAACTAAAAACAATATTAAATATTATCTACTCACAAGATCTTTGCAATGGACAGTCATCTGCCACATGGGGGCAGCACAGGCCTCGATTTCCGCAGAGAAAGCAGTGGAGTATGTGTTGGACTCGAACTCAACATGCTGGCTTAGCTCTCTGATATTCAGATTCATACCTGTATGGGGAAAAGAGTTTGTGATTCTATCGTGACTGCATTACTTTAGTGTGCAAGAGAGTTTCCTGAATTATTTGCAAGTGATCCAGAGTCAATTTTCAGTTTTGCTTTTGCAGGGTATACAGATATCAATTATGATTATTATCATCATCGTTGTCATTTTCATCATCATCATCATAGTCATCATCATCATCACCATCATCATCGTTGTCGTCTTCATCATCGTTATCATCATCATCGTCATCTTCATCGTCATCATCCTCATCGTCAACTTCATTGCCATCATCATCCTCATCCTCATCATCTTCATCATCCTCATCATCATAAGCATCTTAATCATCATCATCCTCATCATCATTAGCATCGTCATCATCATCTTCCTCGTCAACTTCATTGTCATCATCATCCTCATCATCATCGTCATCATCATCATCACCATCATCGTCGTCATCATCATCATACTCATCATTATCAATATTGTCGTCATCATCATCATCCTTATCATCATAATCATCATCGTCATCATCATCATTATGATCATCATCAATCCTTGGAGCACTTACACATGAAGTATCTTAGAAAACGAGCCCACAGAGCCATAAGATCTGGACTACCAAAGAACCGCTCTGCGACTGACCGATGCGATATGATGTTGGTCAGATCGCTGATGATTGGCCAGTAACATTGTCCCTTCAGGATCCTGTTGTCGCAGTTGACCACCTGGTGTCGGTTCCGGCTCTTGCCTCTTTGACCTAGAATCGAACAAGATTATTTAAAAAAGGCAATGAAAAATGAATGCTCGGATAATTCTCAGTGGTAGATTAGATAAATGTGACCGCATCTCTAATGAGTCTCCACGTATACTCATAGTAATTTAATTATCACCTGAATTAAACATCTACTTAAAAAAAAAAATTAGGATTGGTGTGTGACCACTATTGATCACTTGCACCAAAAATCTAATCAGTTCATCATTTTATGAATAAACCCACTGAATCCTATTTCGTCCATGATTCAGTGAATTGCTATCAAGTTATCAAGGTAGCAAGATATTTTCAGGTCTTTTTTTCTTCATTTTCATGACTCTGCAACATTTGACCTCTTGATCTCTTGAAAGTACAATTTAAACCACAAACCTGTCATGGGGCACGTCATGGCTGTCTTCATGACCTGGTTAAGGGCACACTTGATGAGAATCTCCAGCAGGCGCATCTCGTCGGCCATGCGCAGCGCCAGGTCCTCGTTGCTGAAGAGCTGTACGCTGATGTGGACCACCCGGTTGGCCAGCAGGTTCGGGGCTCGCTCCTCGGCAAGGAACATGGCGATGCAGCCATAGTGCTGCACGAACGTCCTGGTGAAGAGCTCCTAGGATACAACAAAAACAGCAACAAGATTAAAGGTATAAACCAGTTTTGGAAATGCCCCCCTCTCAAAAACTGAAACGGAAGCTCTTATTACCAATCATGAGAAAGAATATGTTTTGACTAATACCTGATGATACAAATTTTGCCGGGAAACTGCCTACTAATTGATATATTTGGTAAATTATCATATCGATCCTGCCTGGATAGATATCGCGTAGTCCCACATACATCTTTCTGTGTACAGTGCTTGTAACTTTACCAAGACTGGGCTAAATTTTTTATCATTTTGATGATTCCTGAACCTTGCAGTACACACCAATACTTATATGCTAGATGACTAACCTTTTCTGATCGATTCCACAACGTTTTTTCACAATGCAATCGCATGACCATAACTGGTCTATACCTTTAATAATAAAATTATATTGTTGTATGGCGCATACCACCTATTTAATAATGTCTCTATACACTTCAAAGACCTTTGGATTTATTAAATCAACTCTAACCTACCTAACAGGTAAGATACATGTAAATGAAGCATACAATGAATTTCTTCCTACCGGTACCCCATTAACTTCACCTGGGTCGAGTGTGGCAAATATAGATTAATGTCTTGCCAAAGGACATTAGTGGCAGGGATTCAATCCAGTATGCTGTGGTTCACAGTCCAGAGACTCATCCACTAGACCACACCACCTCTACAAGATTAAGGAAGACACAGTGGCTTGGTGGTAACAGCAGAGGTCTTTAAATTATGGCTCCCAGGTTCAAAACAATATCAATGCACAAGTGCTTGAATTGGGTAGGGCATTAGTCCCTAATCCCATTTGTACCCAAGGGCAGCAAACCCTGCCCAAGAAATTGGAAGCTCTTCTTGAAGTCTGTCCTATCAGGTCTGAGGGTGTTTCACAAAGATCCTAAGTTGAACATATCCCTTTGGACTTAACAGTTATGGAAAGCCGTTAGCATCCTTGAAAATATTTTGTAAAAGTTAATTTAAAAGGCATTAAAATGTTGATTTAAATCATTCATATTTTCAATTATCATGGGAGATTTCATATTCTTGATGTGGAATTTATGAAAAGTCTAAAATACTTCAATTTTCGCCTTTGAATATATTTCGTTATAAGGCTACAAATGGCTCTCCATAATATTTAAGTCCAACTTAGAATCTTTGTGAAACACCCCCCTTGTCTGGAATAAACGCCAAAATTGTGGCGTACAAGAAGCAGACCTTACCTTGTAGTCGTTCTCAGGCAGCATGTTGAGTAGGAACGTGACCATCTTCTGAGGGAAGCGATAGATCACCGTCCAGAATATGAGCTCCTCCAGAAGCGTAAGATGGTTCAAATCTTTGGTCATACCAGGGTATGTGGTGGCTTGAAAAACAAAAACAAAAACCCTCAAAATAACTTCTCTTTTCAAAACGAGAGATCGTTTGAGAAACAAAAAAGATAATGATAATAATAATAATAATAATAATATCCTAATAGTCCACTCCAAATTTCATTAAACTGAAACGGAAATTCTTTTTGCCCAATTGATCGTGAGCCCGGCAGCCACTGAGCAGCGCCAGATCGACGTTGCTCTATCCCTTATTGTTAAACGCCAAACAAGGTAGCAACAACTCCCATCTTTTAACGTCTTTTGGTATGACGCGGCCGGGGTTCAAACCCATGACCTCCCGGTTGTGAGGCGGACGCTCTATTGACTGAGCCAACACTCCGGAAGTGTGGTCCAAGCCTTCGGTCATAATTTGATTAAGTAGCTACGCTTTATAAATAGACATACCATTATCATCATAATTATCATTAAGTTTGGTAAAATCAAAAACAAAAACTTTAAAAAAATTTGTTATCTTGATAAATCATCATCTAGGTGAGCAAGGTCTTAAGTCATACCTGAATATGCGGTAGCTTGAAAACAAACCAACAACCTCAAAATCTGTTCTCTTTTTTTCAAAATAAGAAAATATTTCCGACAAGATTTCACAATCCTTTGTATGGAAAAGTAAGGTTTAATCAACATACACGGACAGGAAGTATAACATGGAGGATTATTTTAATGTTTCTAAGTTAATATCATGATCACTGGACTCATTCATACACAATATGTGCACTATCTCCTCTCCCTCAGGAATATGCCGACTGTATAGCCTGGGTGTGCGGAAAGTACAGGAAATTAAGAATAGTTCGCCACTATAGAAACAAATGGTGTTGCCAATTTAAATTGCACTTTGACTTACCACCAATCACAACATGTTGATCTGGTGAAGGCAGCGCGTTGAGGGCATGCTTGTAGAGATCTTGGCTCTCATTGGTCTTGCTGCCTGGATTACTGCGTATATCTAGACAAAGGGAAAGAGTACAAAATCTTGTAAATCACATATGCCACGGCCACCGTAAAGCAAATGTATTTCATGACTGGAGTTGCCCTGGAAGATTCTAAGTCTAAGACTTAAATTTAAAAAAACAAAAACAAAAACAATTTTTTTTTGTATCTGGCATCAACTTTTTATTCAACATACTTTACTGTTATTTTTTTTAGTCTAGAAGTTATAATTCCGAAGTCTAGGCTCAGCAATAACAGGGGTCAGGAATGTAGACGAGCCTTGAGATGACAACTCTATGGCCTCTTGAAATTTGACACGTTTCTCCTTTTTCCACATATTTCATCCAAAAATGAAGATATCTCTTGATATATTGATTATCGATTGAAAAATGGTGCTTCTGGGGTGTGTTTCACAAAGACTAAGATTGACTTTTGTATACTTTTTCACACAGAATATTTCAGAGAAAAAAGAGGAATCTACTGATCAAAACTACAGCTTGAAGGCCATATAATAGGAATCATTCCTCCAAAATAGGAATAGTTGGCAGCTATGCATATGTCGTAAAGGATTCCTAATTTCAATGAACTCACCTTCCAGAATCTTTGCGTAGAAGTCTTTGTCCATGAGAGCCTTGGTGAGTACGTGTCTCATGGCCCCGCCCATTTTGCAAAGGTCATGCAGGAGGTCAAGGAAGGCGTCTGCTTCCCTCATGGCCGAGATAAAGACATCTCCCGTTCTCATATACCGATCTGCTGTGAGGGGAAGATGAGGGAAGCAAACACACAAATAAAAAAAGAAGAATAAAGCATGTTATACAATGAGTACAGAGTGGTCCACAAACAAAAAATTCAAACATGTAAAATTGAAACATGGAAGGAGTACGAAATACACGCAAAGGACAGAGTCCCTTGTTGCTCAGATGCACTTCTTAGATGCACTCTGGAGCAATCTGAACCATATTTTGAAACATTTCAAAGGAATTTTTTTGGACTAATATTTCATAAATAATTTTAGTTGAGAATGAATATTAAACTGTAGCTGATTTTCAAAACTGTACAAATCAAAATTTCAAACCTGTAGCTGACAGGGCCCTGTCTTATAATTTCAGATTGATTCACATTTATCACAAGTCAACTGCAACTGTGTACTTCAATAGGAGATTGTAAAACCTTGTTCAAATATGCCGTGGTAAAACACTGTTAATGTAATATGGTAAGCTTAACTTTGCTGTATCATATTTCTGTATCGTAGTGAATATGCGTAGGACCTTGTTACGCACACATTTGCAAACAAAACAAATAATAAAAACCATGCGGTTTACTGCTGCTTATCTAAACAAGCCTTGAGTTTGCAAACAATTGCAGGATTTGCGATTAATTAGAATGATTATAAGGGAAGTGCTCTGAACTTTTTACATGTATATCTAAAGAATACCATCTAGACTGCTTTTATCTTTAATTTAGTATGAAAGTGAATCATTTACTTGGTATGCATGTATAGTTTAGTCTCATATGTAGAAGCAGACGTCCGAGGAGCGCTGGGATGATCTCCCGAGCCATGAAAAGCAGGGTGGGCGGGGCCTCCTTCCTCTCAGGAGGATCATCTCCATGGCGATTGCAGAATCTATAAAGAGCATAAAGAAATGATCAATTATCATCGCAAAACCACAAACAGGTTGTCAGATATAATTTTTCATTTTTGGTCTGTGAAGGAATTGACAAATTGTCCTCAATTTTGGCACACCAATTAAAAACATCCTGTTCTTTATTTTGGCCAAGGATCAATAATAGCCGACTCTAATCCTAAGTTTTATATATAGCCAGGACAGGGAAAAAATACACGGGACTCGGGGCAAATTAGCCCCGGAAATGCCAAAAAGAGCCCTCGAAAGTCATAAAAGAGCCCCCCTAAATTTGCATAGAGTTCAATGCAAAACAACTTAAAGAGTGTAATTTTAATGCAAGCAAACTTGAAAAGTAGCCCCAGAAAATATTGTTAGATATTTTTTTCCCTGAGCCAGGATCACAAAGAAATTGGAACTCACCCAGATGCCTTCATAACGCTGGTATCGCCACAGTCACAAGCTCCTCCTGCCAGACTCCTGAACATATTGAAGTCATGGCCCTCGTGATTCCCACCATGGAAGCAATCAGCACAGATTGACATGCACGGCGTGATCCCGCACGTCCTGCAACGATACGCCACAAAGTTAGCCGTCCACACCAACCCGCACGCCGTTGCATCATCAAACTCCCGGACATCGCTGGCAAACTCCTCGAACGGCCTCCCACCGGAGATGAGAAGACGTAGCCACTCGAGATGATCCACGTCTTCTAGGGGTCGCTCGGGATCGGTCAGTAGGTTCAAAAGGTTTGTGAACTCCTTGTGGTTGGTTTCTCGTCGCAATTCTCGTTGCTGAGGCAACAGCTCCCTCTGTAGGTCTCTCTGGAAGCGGGCAGCCGCCTGCTGCTTCGTCTCTCCTGGACGACGGAATTTATCGGCCATCTCCATCTTGAATGAGAGGGGTTTATCCTGCCTCAAATAAAGTAAGATCAGTGGAGTAAGGACTAGGTATTCTTTGTGTCCATTATGCCTCTGTTGGAGCTCTTTCGGATTTGCTCAATTAACAAACTTCTAGGTGCTCCTTCCTGAAACAGTGAAGAAAATAAATTGATGATAAAAACATGGTTACCTACGATACCTGTCCTAGATTTAGATAAAGACTCTTCTTTATGGGGCAAATTGCTCCTTTTATGCAAGACATTTTTTTACTGTTACATCACTTGGAAAAGAGAGGTTTTCAGAGTCTCAGGCAAGAAAACAACAAGTTAATTGTGCTTAGATCTATGTCACGTTCATCTAATGTAAAACCAGAATCTTCCACATGACAGAAACTTTTTGTGTGTGTGTGTGGGGGGGGGGGGGTTGAGATGCCCACAGGGCACAGTAAGAATTTCTGATCCATGTTCTTGGGAAAATGTCAGCAAATTCCAAAAACCGATCTGATCCAACGACATTCACCTCCCCCCAGTACACACACATATCTGACATCTCTCAGCAAGTCTGGCCAGGTTATCCCCTACTAGCTCCCCCCCCCCCCCCCCTCCCAGCAATGCCAATGCAATGGCAATGTCTGTGAACGAAGTAATGAAAGCTATTTATCCACCATTCAACAATGCCAGCTCAAGCTTAGCATAGATCTATGCAATATAACACTGACTGGGCTATTTTTCAATCTTCTTATCAATAAAACACAGTATTTTTCTTCATTCTCATTCTGTAGCATTAGCCTACACTGCACTGGCAACTCGTGAGCTGAGCCGAGTCAGTCAAATAAAATCGCATTCTACTGTACCGGTACTTGCACACAACACATTATAAACGTCAACAAGTCATGCAACTTTAGCTCAGGCTCAGATCACCTCATCGGCCGGTCAAATAATCATAATGTCACAAATTTTCACATCACTCATTACGATCATAATGGCTTCTCAAAATAACACTGAATCCCCAGATATTTCCACGCCAGTTCAATACCTTCAAAATACTTTCGGCCTAAGAAAGTATCAATGGTTCCAAGTCTTTTTTTTTCCTTCCCTGAGATGAGCGAGAGTTGTTTTCATTCATTGACGTTCGTTTGGTCTCGATTCGCCCCTTAAAACTGGCGACGAATAAGCCGGCTACCAAAAAGGAAAAAGCTAGCTGCCAATAATGGAGGCTATAGTATCTCCAACTCGTACAACTGAAAAGGAAAAAGAAAAATTTGCACGTGTCGGCTGACAGTAGTCTAAGAGAATTTTGATGTTTTTAAAACTATCACGCAACATCTAAACTAAATAATAACCTGCACCATTTTGAAGCTGAAGTGTTCATTTTTACTCTCATATATTATGTCACATGCTTAATTTCTTGTCTTCTTCTCTTTTCCAGGTTGGCCCTTACCTTACCAACATTTCTTCATTTATTAGCAAACTCGTTTTGTTCTGTTTTGCTCCATTGTACTTTTTCTTTTCTCTCTCTCTCTCTCTTTTCTTTTTCTTCCCCATTACCATTTCTCCTACATATAACTTTCTTCCTTCTCAACTTTTCTATGTTGTAATTGTTTGTTCTGGTTTGCGCTTTCGCTCTCCATCCTTATATAATTATCTTCCCATTTTCTCCTTTTCATAATACATCAATCTATCTCTTTTGTAAATAATTCCCATGTGTATTTGCTTCTCGTCTGTTAAGGTACCGGTAGTTTAGTTAAGTATTTTTTATTCAAAGAAATTAAATCATTCCCGTATTATATTCTTTCAAGATTGGTTCATTTTTTTAGACCCCTTTTTTTTTACCTCGATCGCTTACATGTAAGTGCCCCCCCCCCCCCAAACATCGAACTCTGGCTATGTGCCTGCGTATAGGGGCCTACATCTATTTGTTTGCGAAACTGTAGAATTGCGTGTTAATTCCTAAACGGGTGTAGCATAATCTGAACTTGAAATTGAAATTAGATGTCTCCAACGCTTTAAATGTACCAGTTTATAAGGTATTTCTTCTGATATGATATGCCACTTTTTATTTTCACATTGGAGACTAGTACAAGCTTTTACCGGTATCTAATTTTTGTTCTCTTTTTCGCCCATATTACACATTCATTTTCTGTTTTTCTTTTTGAAGACACCATAGCGCGAATTCTATTGTTTTCCGGACTAACTTCATATGCGGTTATTGGTCGCTAAAAGTAGCCCAATGTCGACATTGCATATGATTTTGCAGTACGAGGAAGTGACATCCCCATAATTGTGTACGACATGGCAGTAGTAGGTAATAGAATTTAGTAAAAACTCAAAGTGATAACAAATCTTACATAGGAATAGGCACAGAGGCGGCGCTCCCGGGGGCAGGGGGGAGGGGCACAGCGCCCCTCCACTGTTTTAAGTACCCCAAAAGTGCCCCCTTTTACATAAGAAAAGTGCCCCTTTAACTTTTTAAGAAGTGTCCCTTTTTACATAAAAAGTGCCCCTTTTACTAATTTGACAAGTGCCTCTATTATATTTTTAAAGTGCCCCTTCCCCTTTTCACCCCTTTTTTCACCCTTTTCAAAATTGCCCCTTTTATTTTGAAATGTACCCCGTTTCCTTTGACAAGTTCCCATTTTCCTTCGCAATAAGTGCTCATTTTCCATTCTCATAAGTGCCTTTTAAAATCTCTAGTAAGTTCCGCTTTTCAGGTACGAGAAGCGCCCCTTTTCATTCTCATAAGTGCTCCTTTTCATCTCTCGTAAATGACGCTATTCAATTCTGAAAGATAATCGTTTTACTTTGACAAATGCCCCTTCCCGTCCTGATAAGTGCTCTTTTTATCTCTTATAAATGCCCCTTTTAATTTGACACGTCCCCCTTTTCCTTCCTAATAAATGCTCTTTTTCCTTGTTATAAGTGCCCCTTTCCCTTTTCATAATTACCTCTTTTCATCTTTGACAAGTGCCCCGTTTATTTTAACATGTGCCTCTTTTTCTTTTTAATAAGAGCCACTTCCCCCTTCTCATAAAAGCCCCTTTTCACCTCCCGATAAACGCCTCTAATAAAATCTGATCAGTGCCCCTTTTCTTTCAACAAATGCATATTTCCCTTTATCATTAGTGCCCCTTTTTTATTCTCACAAGTGTCTCTTTTCATGTATGGTCAGTGCCCCTTTTCAGATGCGATAAGTGCCCCTTTTCACCTCTGATAATTATCCTTTTAATAATTATACGTGCTTCTTTTTCCTTTCTAATAAGGATCCTATCCCCTTTTCATGAATGCCTCTTTTTACTTCTTATAATTGCCCCTATCAAAATCTAATGGGTGCCTCGTTTCCGTTGACAAATGCCCATTTCCCATTCTCATAAAAATCCCTTTTCATCCCTGGTGCGTGCCTCTTATTTTAGGTGTAAGAACTGCCCCATTTTCACCTCTGATAATTAACCTTTGTACTTTCACACGTGCTTCTTTAGTGTCTTAACACTTTCGATAAGACAGTGTCCCCTTTTCCTCTCATCATTAAACGTGCCCCTAGTTTCAAGCGACTAAGAGCAATTTCCCCCAAAGCTCGCTCGCCACGCTCGCTCGTAGTTATAATTATGTAACTTATTAAAGATCTTTTCAGTCTTCCATTATGAGAATGTGCTTATAACCCCATCAGGATTGGGTTTCTCCTCTTTATAAGATGCAATTTTTTGCAAATGAATTTTCAGATCATCACACCCAACTGCAAAGTATGATGCTGAAGCAATATCTTATATGATGTTTAAAGAGAAACAAATATTGAAATCATCCCTGATAATGTAATCACAACAAAGGGTATATAATATACCGGCCAATTAAAATAAAATGTATTTCCCCTTGAAGGTGCCCTTTTTTTCTCCAGAAAGTACCCTTTTTTGTTAGTGCCCCCCCCCCCCCACTTTGGAATTTGATCCGCCGCCTCTGAAAAGGCATATTCCTTGAACACATAATTATTGACCGTGTTTATTAATTTCTTTATCTATTTTTTGTTTGTTTATCTATTATTATTTTTTTGTTTTTTATTTATTTACCCAATTATTAATTTATCATGATATTTAAAGCAGTCAATTATTTGTTCATCTATTAATTTATTAATTTATTTGTTTGTTTATTTATTTGGTTATTGATTGATTTATTCATTTTTATCTATTGATTTATGCCTCGGCCTATTTATATACATATTTATTTATTTATCACTTAGATTGTTCCACAATAATCAATCAGATAGAAGCTATATTTTGTTTTCACTATTCTATTCAGGCTTTACCCACGGTCTACATGAATGATATATAATTTCGTATCAATGTTATGGTATTTTTTATTTTATTACAGTAGCCTCAAGCACTGTTTACACACTGGCTATGAGAATGTATTTTGTCATATTGGAAAGGATCATTTTGCATTATAAAGGTTGTCTTTTTCAAATGATGCATTTAAAACTTGTAAGGTTTGGGGAATCAATTTTGGTATTAAATGGAAACACGATGCTTCTCTGTTTACACTGGCGGATTTGGGGGGGGGGGGGCACGTTTTTGGAAGAAGCTGACATTTTCCCAACATTGAATAGAAAATTCTTAATGGAGGCGTCTTAACAACTATAAAGAAAACATGGAGGCAACTGTACATCGAACCTCGTAGACTTAGCCACATTATTGTTTGCAAAAACCATTAGGCTAAGCGTGTATGCTTGGATTTCCCATTAATAAAACCATAATGGATGCCTTAATTATTATGCTGACTAATTAAACAATAAAGATACCCTGTTACATAAGACGATTTTATTTTAATTAGTTACTTCTCTACCATGCCGTATCATCAAAATGTAATATGCCCCTAACGCTGGTTTTGTTGACGAATTATAAAATATAGCAGCAGCATTTTCTGTTAGGCTACCACGTTGTGTTTAATACCGAAAGGATTAAATCGTGAACGATTAAACATTTCTGTTGGCAAATCAATAATTGTTATCGGCTCATCTATTTTCATGATTTTTTGTGGTAGATTGAACCATTATCTAAATGTATTTGTAAGCCATCTTTTTCCACAATTACTCTTAACGGAAATTTGAGTACCGTGTAATCTATTCGTGTTTTAATTCTTTTGCAAAATGTAAATGGGGCATGCGTCTTTTTGCAAGTGTGTCTGTTCTGTCGGTAAATAAAAACTGTCGGTATGTTTGATCGAAAGCCCCCGTCTTCGCTTACCCCCCTCTCTCTCTCTCTCTTTCTCTCAATATCTTTCCTCTAGCTCTCACATGATCTCATTGTCTCGCTCTCTCTTTCCTCTTTCTCTTACCCTTTCTCGCTCTAATGTTCTTCTCGCTGTCTAATTTTTGTCATTACCCCAATAATTAACGAAAGCAAACAAAAGTTCAAACAACCTCCACTTTGGCAACATCAACGAGTATTTGCACACTATATTATTATACCTACGTTTTAAGAAAAAACACTTTCAGTCTTAATTCATAGTTGGACGCAACCGATTTGATTATGATCATTCGTTCTACTCTATATAATCACGCTGGATTTTTAACTCCAAACCACGTAGACATTATAGGCAACTCGTTAGATCAGACATCCTCATCTAGCCATTATGTTTCCATCAGAGATTACGTCCTTTATTACTACCGCGACCGAATCTTCTGAATCTGAACAACCATCTGTATATGTTTGTGGCGTCCCAACCGCTCGCTATCACATATTGGACACCCTTATGACAGCGGTTCCAGTGTTCTTTGCAGCTGCTATCTCTGTACCCACCATCTTAGCGTTGATATTCTGCAAGAAGTTAAGACGACAACACAATATCTTTGCTTTTAACATCGTCCTTGCTGATTTTATCTTAGTAATAGTATTCATAACATACAGATGGGGGCAATTTGTGGTGAGAACAAGATCCAATGATTTCTCTTCTTTTCTTCTTTTTCTCATTTTATTTTTTATTTTATTTAAAGAAGTACATGTAAACTGCAGCTATTTTGTGTCTCTACATGTGACCCCTGCAGGCTGCTTATAGCGCCGTTAGAAACAGAAAATGAACCTTGAGTCATACGCGGAGATTGGCCACCTTCGTTTCAGTTGGTCACAACATAATTTGATGGCGTTTATTTCTTTGTTTTGTGCTTTCCCAACAA